CCCAGGTGATAGGAGTTCCTTCACCGTGTATATGGATTCCATACGGAACTTGCTAGGCCTCACGAACTCGTTCACCTTCCGCAGATTCAATATCATCCTGTAAGTACCTGACGGTTTTTTCCCTAGAAAGAAATGGGAGAAGAATCCACTTCCCTTTTCCTCTTCTCTCAACTGGCAGATTACGTTCTGACTGAGCATATTCTGTAGGAGGTCCACCAATGCATCTGCCATGGCCCTGTCCTTTGGCAGGGGTGTTGCAAAGAATCTCTGAGGGGGGGCCCTTGTGAACTCTATTCTGTACCCCCTGTGAATGGCCTCCAGAATGTAGGTGTTCTGGGTTATCCTTAGCCATTGTGCGTGGAAGCACCCCCAGCCTCGCTCCCACCTGGCCTCTCCAGTCACTTCGGCTGGGTTTTGGGTCTATTCTGGCTTGGGTTGAAGAGGAACCCTCCCCTGCCTCTCGGCTCGTTCCTGCCTCTTCTCGCGCCCCAGCCTCTGGGCGCTGGGTTTGGAACCTAGCTTCCCTCGATGTGTATCGCCTGGATGGGCGAAACCCCTTCCGTCCAACCTGCCTGCTGGGGGGCCGGGAAGCTCTTTTTCCTGTCGGCCGACCTTTCCAGGACTGAATTCAGCTCCGGGCCAAAAAGGAGTTTTCCTTCAAACGGCAGGCCACAGAGTTTAGACTTGGAGGCCAGGTCCCCCTGCCAAGATTTCAGCCAGATAGCCCTCCTCGCCGTGTTTATGAGCGCTGTAGATCTAGCAGAGAGTCTGATGGTCTCTGCTGATGCGTCCGCGATGAAGGCTACCGCTTTCTCCAGCACCGGCAGCGATTTCAGAATCTCTTCCCCCGGGGTGCCTTGTTCCAGATGCGAACGAAGCTGCCCCAACCACACATCCAGGGTTCTGGACACGCAGGTCGTCGCCACTGCAGGTTTGAAATTTACTGCGGACGCTTCCCATGCCCTCTTCAGGAACGCATCCGCTTTCCGATCCATCGGGTCCTTTAGGGACCCACCGTCTTCAAAGGACAGGTCTGTTTCCTTCAAGATCCTCGAGAGAGGGGCGCCTGGCTTCGGGCAAGTCTCCCAAACCGAGGCATCTTCCTCCTTAAAGGGGAAACGTCTCTTGAGGTTCTTGGGAAGGAAAGCCTTCTTCTCCGGCTCTTCCCATTCTCTCCTGATCGTGGACCATAGGGCAGGGTGCACTGGGAATGTACGGCTGCTTTTTGCCTGTAGCCCTGCGTACAGTTGGTCATGGAGAGAGAGGTCCTGCTGTTCCTCCTCCAGATCCAGGGTCTCGTAGATCACCTTTAACAGGTCCTCCGTGTCTTCCACCTGAAAAAGGAACCTGTCTGCCTTTGGGCCCTGAGCCTCAATCTCACCCTCCTCCGAATCTGAGGTGTCCGACTGTTCGGCCTCTTCCCAGTCCCTTACAGTCGCTACCTTGTCCAGCTTCCTCTTTTTCCCCCCTTGGGTGCTGCCTGAAGTGCCCGGTTGGGGCTCATCCTGGGCCGGCCCCGGCTTCTGTTCCCTGAAGCTTTGAAATGTCTTGGACATCTCTTGCGTCATATTCTGTAGGAAGTCTTTAAAAAGAGATCCAGACTCCTTCTTGATGAGCTTGTCTATACACCCCTGGCAGAGCTGCTTCCTCCAGGAGCTCGCCAGTTTCTTCCTACAAGTGGCACACTTCTTTTTTTTCTGCTCACAAGGAGCTTCTTTCTCCCCTCTATCCTCCTCCTGTGGGCCCATCTGGGGACAAGGAGATACACGTGTTCATGCGTTTGTGAAAGTAACGCCTCCCCCCCCTGTGCCACTGTGAAAGTTCCAGCCGTGGGCCTGGGGGGGAGAGGGGGGGCTGTGTGTGCGTGGGGGTACCCAATTATCCCGGGGGGGAGGGGGGGGAAATAAAGAAGAGTGGCCAAACAAAGGCCCTTACCTTACTGCAGGCCTCCCCCGCTCCTGACAGATCTGCCTCCATGCTGCCGCAGGCTCTGCCTCGGTGCGGCGGTTTTTTTCAGGGGCTGGTGGGCTCCGCCCCCCCCCCCCCCCCCTGCGATCCTCCCTCTCACGGCCGCCGGTGGAGAAGCGGCCGTGGCACGGGTTCCTTCCACGGTGTGCCGCCCATTTCCAAGATGGCGGCGGCTGTTCCATTCTCCTGCGCCGGAAGTGACGTCACCCAGCGCCCGGAAGTGACGCGTTCGCAGCGTCCAGACCTTCCGCAGCCGCGCCTCCTGGCCATGCTGCCGGGATCCAGGAGCAGGTAAGACTTACCTGAAACCCCCGCAGGGAAAGGCACCAATGCCTCGGTCAGCGGAGCGGGCTCTACCCCCCTGGAGAGCCCCGCTGGGACCATCTGGGGCCGACGCCCCCACCCTACAAAGGGCACTCCAGGATGAATCTGGCTGAAAGGTCCCCCCCTCACAAGGCCCCTGCCTCGCTTGGAGGAAGGGGGGGGCCTCAGCCAGGGACCCTCTGTACTCCGCCAGAGAGCCCAGACTAAAAATAAAAAACGGGCGTAGCTCCTTCCTAGCCGGAGGAAACACTAAAACTGGGGGCCAATGGGAGAGAGGACGCCTATAAAGGGAAAAAAAGGTGAGCGGGTGTTTCCTGGGAGGAGCCCTATCTCTCAAGTGAGCTGTCCTAGAAGATGACTAGGGAAAATTGGATTTTTTTCTACATACTTACTAGTAAAATCTGTTTTTTTGGAGTACATCACGGGACACAGAGGTCCCTCCCCTCTTTCTGGAATTTTTTGGCTTTCAAGAAAACTGAAGTACTTCCTGTGTAGGAGGTGTTATAGAGGGGGAGGGCTCCTCTCTGATTGGTTGGAGAGGGGCCATTCACCTGTAGGTGGCATATAACCCATATAGTCATGAATAGCCTGATCTGTGTCCCATGATGTACTCCAAGAAATGGATTTTACAGGTAAGCATGTAGAAAAAAATCAAATTTTTTCAAAATATTCAGTCTTTTTTCATTTATAGATACATAAATCCAATGGTGAATAAATACCACCAAAAGAAAGCTCTATTTGTGTGGAAAAAATTATTTCGTACAGTGTTGCATGACCGCACAATTGCCAGTTAAAGTAGTGCAATAGCAAAAAATTCCCTGGTTATGAAAGGGGTAAAAACAATATCCACACTGCTTTTTATAAGTTAGACATTTCTGCTGGAGAGTGTAATATTTCTATCAAAACAATACTGGCTGGTCTCTTATTCTTAACTGCTTCCCGACCATCCTATAGCAGAAATACTGCTACAAGGTGGTACGGGTGCGCAAAATCAAGTGTATATATACGTGTTTTTGCATTTACGGGCAGGGGGCGCGCCCTACCCTCGCCGCTGGCCGCGGGTGTCATTACAGTGTAGTGCACAGTCACCGCCCTCTAGTAAAACACTCCCTGCACACAGTTAACCCTTTGATCGCCCTCCTATTAACCCCTTCTTGCCAATTGCCATTAGTACAGTGTCAGTGCTTTTTTTTCTTTAAAGCACTGATCACTGTATTGGTGTCACTGGGGATGTCAATGACACAAAATCAGTTCCCCCCCAGTGTCAGAATGTCCGCCGCATTCCCGCTATAAAGCACTAATCGCCGCCATTACTAGTAAAAATAAAAAATCCCAGTATATATACCGCCATTTGTAAAACTTTATAACTGTATAACTTTCACGTAAACCAATTCATTTACACGTATTTGGATTTTTTTTTTAGCAAAGACGTAGCAGAATACATTTTGGCGTAAATTTATGACGAAATTTGATTTTTTACATTTTTTTTTTACTGGACATGTTTAACAGCAAAAAGTCGATAATATTTTTTTTTTATCTCAAAATTGTCTTTTTATGGCTTTTATGGCCTTTATTTTTTTTTTTATATATATATATATATATATATATATATATATATATATATATATATATATAGAGCGCAAAAAATAAAGACCACAAAGGCGATCAAATACCACCGAAAGAAAGCTCAATTCATGGGGAAAAAAAGGACGTAAATTTCATTTGGGTGCAGCATTGCATGACCGTGCAATTGTTAAAGTAACGCAGCGCCGTAACGCAAAAAATGGCCTGGTCAGGAAGAGGGGTAAATCTTCAGGAGGGCAAGTGGTTAATCAGCATGTCAAATTGATATTTTTTAGCCATATGAAGCCTTTTTGTCCTTTCCTTAGTACCCCAGAAGTTTAGGAATTTAAATGAGGTCCAAGCTGTCCTCCAGTGGATAAAAAGTACCCCCTCCTTATAGAAGTTTGTAACACAGATCTTCGAAAAACATGTATCAAAGTCTGTTTGTCTGGGGGAAAAAACAGCGTCATAGGCTTTTCCAGACTTAAGACGGTGTAGACTTAATGTGGCCCACTAATGTTTTATTCTTCCAATTTATCCAACTGATTTATTTGAATTTGATTATGGGTTTAACTACAGATCATGAGGGCCCCATAGCAGAGTTTTAGTTGGAACTCTGGCCATCCTTTCTCCGTGGTACATAGCAGAGTCAAATGTGAGGATACTGTCACTGATCTTAATATAAATATATAGCGATGTGGGTATAATTTGTAAGGAAACAATGGGGCAGCAGTGCAAGACATTCACTTTTAATCTTAATTTCCTGTTCACTACTCTGTTCTCAAGTATCTTCCAGGTCATTTTGAGCTTAGGAGATCTTCATTGTAAATGATGGGCCCTTTCACTCCATAAGTGCTAAAGGAAGTGGTCTAGTAGGTAGTAAAACAAACCCCACAAACTTCACAGAAGTAAAGGGGATCTGTGGCTAATGATCTTGATTACTCCTGTGTGTCTGAGGTCAGCTTCAAAGTTTTTATTTTGCCTCAACAGCTTCCCTTATGGGGTCTTTCTCCCACCCCAGGCCCTACAGTAGCCCCATAGGCAGCTATAGCTTCTGTAATGCCATAACCTACTCTAGATTTTGTTCTTTGATACTCATGTTTCCTTTTTTTTTTTTTTTTTTTTTTTTGCTTTTGTATTTGTAGGTGTATAAACCTAACGACAAAAGTTCAGTTTGCTGACTCTGGTGAGTTTTGTAGCTAACCACAATATATATTATTAACAGGCCCCTACTAAATAATTGTGTCAGAGTGATGTAGGTAAACACACTTATCTGACTAATGTACTGTTGACAGGTGGCAAATCAATGTGCACATACGTCACTGCCTGTTTTCTGTTTTCGTGTGCGCGTGCGCCTGCCTACTATCGCTATGCTTGAGTCTGTCAGCATAGCCAATGATTCACAGCCAGAACCTGCTGAATGGCTGTATACAATCACAGCCCAGAGCTCTGTGTTGACAAACAACACAGAGCTTTGTTCAGATGGAACGATCTCTGTTTCTCATAAGAAATTGAGATCTGTTAGTAAAAAGCAGCACACTTTACACACATTACACATAATTAGGCTCACATTTAACCCCTTAATCGCCCTAAATGTGAACCCCTTCCCAGCCAGTGTCATTAGTACAGTGACAGTGTATAGTATTCTCACTGATCACTGTATTAATGTATGTCACTGGTGATGTCAGTAGCAGTTAGTCCGTTCCCCCCAGCGTCAGTGTAAGATTGCCTGCCGCACTATCGCAGTCCCATTAAAAGTCGCTGATCACTGCCATTAGTAGTATTAAAAAACAAATAAAAAAAAAATTCCATTATATATTTTTATATATATATATATATATATATATATCATAGTTTTTGTAGGTGCTATAACTTTCATGCAAACCAATCAAGACACACTTATTGGGATTTTTGAAGAAGTTAGATTTTGTTGTGTATGTTTTATAGAAGAAAGTATAAAAGAATGTTCTTTTTTTTTTTTTTTTTCTTTCATTTATATCACAAAAAATAAAACACTCAGTGGTGATCAAATAACACCAAAAAAAAGCTCTATTTGTGTGAAAAAAAATTATATACATTGGTACAGCGTTGCATGACCACGCAATTACCAGTTAAAGTAGCACAGTGCTAAATAGCAAAATATGGCCTGGTCATGAAGAGGGTAAAATCTTCCAGAGCTTAAGTGGTTAAATGCATAAACATGTTGTTTAGTAACACTATTAGAACACTTGGATAACATCAAACAAAAAGGACTGTGCTCCAAGCAGCTCTTCTACACTGTCATACAAACCCCAGAGGCAAGCTGAGCGATTCACTCACTGACTAGACTGCACCTTCTATTGCAATTCCTGATGAATCCTATTAGAACACCAAAGTTCTCTAGTTGACTATATAGGTTATTATAAATTAAATATCCTTTATTGACACTCATGGTCAGTTTTTGTCACACATCCAGGGTTTATGCTCTTTTTCACATATTGCAGGATCTTTGAAGGCTACTGATCACATTAAAGAGCATCACATATTTACAGTTCTGAAAGCAGCAGCGTTTCTGGGCAGAAGTTGCCAGTTTTTGCAAATGGGAGATAAAAAGATTTCCCTAATGAACGTGAGACTTGCCCTTCAGGCCATGCAAGGTGAGTTGTTTGAATATGGAATGTCAACACCTATTTTATAATTGTTGAGAGTAAAATATAATTTTAGTGCTTAAATGCTGGAAGTAACGCCTATAAGGTTTTCTTATTTGTTCTCTTAATTTCCTAGAAGTCACAAAAATTGTTTATGCAATTGTGGACTTAGCCTTTACATTTTTTTTTTTAAAGTTATCATGATGAAAATCATTTTTATTTGTTAAACACCCACATATCACGCTAAGTACACTTGACTAAAGCATTTGGCTTGGTTTTCTCAAAGCAGAACTGCAATAAAATACTTGATAAGTAGAGTTTTTTGATATAAGAGACTTTTATGTCTTTTCTGCCAAAAAACATAGTTTTTCCTAGCATTTTTCTTCTTTCTGTAAAATGTCAGAAAAACAATTAGGTTCCAGAATAATAGAAATCCAACGTGCACGAGGTGGAGTTGCATCATCAATGACTCAAGGGAAATGATGCAAGGCTGAAAAGAAGAATCCTTGAAGATGTCCATGATGAGGGGGAGCTTGGACCTGAAAGAGGCCAGCGTAGGAGGTAAGTCTTCCATTCTGTGCAAGTATGCCATGCATACTAGCTCATTATGGCAAGTGCTCCTGCGTGCTTGAGGTGACTTCAGGTTGACTTTAATTTGAAAATGAAGGTCTGGTGGTGTAAAAAGTAGAATCTGGACTGACTCCTAAAACAAAAGTGCAGACTTTTACATTTGAAAACAACTTGCCGCTGTGCACATTTGCACATGATTTACAAAAACATTTTTATAGACAAATATGAGCCATAGTCCTCTAAGTCCCTTTGCCATTGTGTACAAGTGAATATTTTCTTATGCAATTAGACATGTTGTCAGGAGCTACTGTATGCTTGCTTGGTGCAAACAGATCTATAATCGGACAGAAAAAAAGATGAAAAAAGGTGCACACTCTATGGCCCACTAGGTCTTTTTCTGCTGTCTCTATGGGCCATGGTAGGCAGAGGGATTACTGTAATATAAAATACAATTTAGATTACTGATCATAACAGAAAAAATGTAAAGGAATTAAACATTCACTCATAGGACACTCTGGATTACACCAATTGTATAATCATTGAACACAAAGATATTAGACACATTATACATGATGGCTGAACACTGTGGCTTACCCTATTATTCTTATTTATTATTATTTATTATATACATTATACTCACTAAAGACTACACATATGAAACCTCTTCATAATGGATATAAAGCTTAGCTATAGTGTATTTTGTAGTAGGTACCAGAGCTGGGAGAAGGGGTGGGCAGGATGGGCGGCTAACCTGGTCTCAGCGGTAAAAGGGGGGTACTCCCTCACCACACACTCAGTAGCTAGCAATCAATGGGCCACAGAGTCATGTCTGCTCTGAAAGTTACTTCTTTTACACTGACCTCACCCACTCTCCACCTTATCTGCCCACAGCTGACACAAAAAAAAAACACAACAAGCTGCACAACTACCTTTTAGCTGCTAGAAAGCAAGCGGTTTGGCATTGATGTGCAGTGCACACTCCATGCCAACTGTTGGCAGCTGGAACAAGAGGGCCGATAATAGGTGAAGGGTGGTACACACATTCTACAGCATGCACTAGAAGGGGGAAGCAGATCCACATCCTTGCCCTGAGCCCTGGACTAATCTGTCCTAGTATTGCTTGGTACAGAAATTGAACTCTTTTAAAATTATTTTTTCTTGCCGGTATTCATGCAAAAGAAATACTTTCTTCTCAGGCTTTCCTGGTGCACTTTTCTGCCTTATTGGATTGTTGTGGAAGACAGAGCATAAGAAAATAGTAGCTCTTGAATTTAGGAGATGGAGGTACCAGGGTAAAATTGATTACCTACTTGATCAATATGAGGAAATGAAGAGGTAAGTGTATTCCTGAAAGAAGACAAAAACAGTACATTATTAGTAAAAGAAGGATTCCTCATTGTAAAAATTAGGTTAAGACAACATTTCTCTTTGCCTGATCAGATGACCAGTGCCAAAGTGTTGGTTGTTTGGTTTCTGCCAGAAAAATATAGGGAACTAATTTTTAGGCAGACCTGTTCCGTCAGAAGTTCACTGTGCGCAGCCTGTTTAATATTTACCAGGCTGCGCACTTACCTAAGATCTTTGGTATCATATTACACCATGTTGCAACATGGAAGCAATGTGTATAGCAAATGACACTTTAAAGAGATTTCTTACTTTTCCTGATATGATTTTGTTTTATTTTTTCAGTTTAGATTTAGTTTCAAGGATAAAGTCTATGTAAAGGTAAACTTTTTTAAGTTTTGGAAAGAATGGGGAAGAATTTGAGCCCCTATCAATTTTTATTGCAGTCTGTCTCCCTGCTGGGGAGATTTACACATTTATTTGTCCTGGTGACTATTGTCGCCAAGACAGAAAGTGAGGAGGAATCCTACATTTTAAAGTTGAAACAAACAGCGAGACGTGAATTAAAATCTCACAGTTCCTGCCTTGACAAAACTAGGGTATTCCCCTTTATTTTTGGGCTTTTTCCTCACACTTTCTATTGTGTCTCCTAAGACACAAACATACATATAACACACACCCACTTTCACTATAGATCGTATTTACACCTACCTGTGAAATTACACGTTAGTCCTCTCAAGAAGGGGGAAACACGCAGATGGTGAAGACTAGAGTATCTGTTATAAAACTGGTAGTGTTAACTGATTGCACAAAGTTTATATCGGGCTGCAAAGGGTTACGGCAGAAATTGAGTTAATTGAACAGTCACTGTGGACTATTTTAGGAAAATATTTGGATACTCTTAAGACATTTTTTCTTTCAGTCTAACTTTCTTTTCTACCATCTTTCTAAGGGATTTGCCACTGCACCTGGTTGTCTGCATCCAAAAAAGCTTCTTGCTGGACAAGTCGCTTGTTCAAGAATTGGAGGATTATTTGCAAAACGAAGAAAAAGAAACTACCATCTACTCCTAAAAACTTTACAGAATGTTTAGTAACTCTGCTGGGTTTCCCCTTTTAAATTATTTTCTACGTGCGTTTAAACTAAATTGTTATTATTTGTATACAAATCTAATGTTCTGAGTATAAACATTTTGCTTAAGCATATCTAAGGTGATGATGATCATTGAAGGTGTGTGGCTGTTGCTATAGATTACTAGATCAAATACCATCCATAGTTTTTTTTTTTTTTTTTTTTCTTTATACTGGTTGTCTTGAACTTCAAAAGAGAGACTACAGTTACCTGCCACACACAAACTGACTTTGTGTGAACAGCTAACACAGACTCAGAAGGGTACATGAGAGTTCAAAAAGCAAGAATATGCAGACTAAATATGCCAATATTTGCAGTGTATTTATGGGGATGGGATGCGTGATGATTGAGGTTTTGCCTAGGCAGGTATGGAGCACTTTCAGCCAAGGGAAGCAGGAAGGCCTGGAATATTGATGACTGAGGTGGGACCCATGAGGGAAGGACCTATGACAGAAGTGGCTTGCAGGTAGACATGCTGTGGAGTGTATAGAGAGAAGAGGCCTCCTGCCATGTGACTTGTAGCATTGGCTTTATTGGTCCTGCTAGCAGCGGAGTCAGGCAGAGTGTCCAAGCCAAGCAGAGGAAAGCAGACAGTGAACCCAGCAGTCTAGTGGCAGGTGAGCAATAGGCAGGAACAGATCTGCACTGGTGACAGCAGACAGGTTAAGCATAGGCTGGTAGCAGTCAGGTAGAGAGCAGGCACTGGTAGCAAATAGGCAGATGCTTGCAGCAAGTAGCTCAGCAGCAGCTAGATATGCAGCAGAGTCAGACAAGCTGGGTCAGAGACTGGTAGTCGGATCAGATACAGGTGCATAGGCAGGTGTATAGGCAGGGTGCAGGCCAGAGTCGATAACAGATCAGCGGTACAGCAGCAATGGGAGCAGGCAGAAGTGGCGTTCAAGAGACAAGCTGGAGTTGGTGCAGGCAGCATTCAAGGAATGGTCAAGACACGCTAGGTCAGTTACTGGAGTAACAGGTCACAATCACTGGCTCGGTTTAAATGGCCCCTTTGACGCCATCCTTGGTGACAGATGCTCATGTGTACACAAAAATGCCCCCAGAGGGGCCATCTTGCTTGTCCTTCCTGACATGGCATTTTTCCGGCACTCTCTTAAGCAACTCACCCCCTTCTCCCCTCTGCACTTGGGGTCTCCAACCTAGAGGCTCTATCTCTAGTTCTTTTGTCACTTTAACCCATGGATCTATGTGTAATCCAGGTTATTACCCTCTTCCTCTGGGTCATGGAAGGTCATCAGTGGTGCCTAGTACCCCTCATTGTCCATCCTCTACTTCTCGAGTGTGCCCAGACAACTGGGGCCAACCTTGGCTGTCCTCAACCCTAACAGGTTTCTAAATCCCTCCCTGGGCCCCTGTGGCTGTCCTAGTGCCTTGTTTTTGCATCCAAATTATGGGACACTCAGGCGACCTCCTATGAAGGCTCCAATGGAAAAAAAATAAAAAGGCATCCAAGAGGTGCTGGGACTTTGATATGAGTTTAAACAAGGTAGTATGAGGGGGAAAAGAACACTTGAAGAGCTCAGCGGCTCAGGCTAGGCTTCTCACAATAGGCAAGGCCACCCCACTGTGGGTACTTCAGCAGGTTACCAGGAAAATGTGTGCTCATATGGGAGCACCAGACCAAAAGATAAAGAGTCCAAATTAATTTAATGATGTTATGCTGGAAGACTGGCAACACGTTTCAGCGGTCAAAGGAACTCCCACTTCATCAGAATTTCAGTTAAAAATGAGAACCTTGAATGGACTCAAAGGCTTTCCTAATTGAATCAGTGCAGGTCTGCTGATTGCTGGAGTAGGATTCCTGACCAGCAGGGTCTGCATCAGCAGAGAGAGTACAGTGTGTACAGTGGTGGGTAGTATGTGCGAGAGAGAAGTGCAGAGTGTACGGCGGTTCGTAATATGTGCAGGACAGGAGTGGAGAGTGTATGGCAGTAGGTAGCATGTGCAGGATGTTGTCAGTACTTTATTTGTATTAATGATTTTTGTATTTACTTTGTACAATTATTTTTATTATTTTTTTTTCACAGTGTTTCGGGGGGGGGGGGGGGGGAGGGGATGTGTCAGTAGTTTTTTTTGGTTTTGTTTTTTCTTAATTGTTTTCAAAGTGCTTCTGTGTGTGTGTGTGTGGGGGGGGGGGGGGGGCAGTGGACAGTGTCAGTATTTTTTTATTTTTATAATTTCATTTTCACAATGCTTTTTGGAAGGGAGGGAGTTGGGACAGTAGTTCATGTCAGTAGGGCTATGTACAGCGTCAGTGTTGTTGTTTTTTCTTTTTTTCTTCAGTTTTTTTACAATTTATTATTTTTTCTTTCCACAGTGCTTTTTTTTGGGGAGGGGTGTATTTTTTAATATTTTTAAAAATTGTATTTTTTTTTTGTTTCATTTAATATATATTAAAAAATGTTTTTAATTAGCCCTGTTGGGGGAATTTGTTGAGATATCAGGGGTCTAAACATATCCCTGCCATCTCACCTTTGAGACAGAGAAAGGGTCTTGGTGACAGAGATTCCCCAATCTTCCTCTACAGCCTCACCTGCAGCTGCACACCGGAGGACAGATGAATATAGTGTATATTTATTGATCCATAGGACACACAAAACACCAGGACATGAATACAGGACATGTTTAAGCATGAGATCGTGTGAAACGCGTTAACAGGTCCTGTATTCATGTCCTAGTGTTTTGCGTGATCTTTGGATCAATAAATATACACTATATTCATCTATCCTCCGGTGTGCGGCTGACCCTTCTTCCTATGGCTTTCCGTGTAGCAGCTGAAATCCACGGGAGGGGGAGGAGAAGCGGCTTTCAGCTGCTTCACAGAAAGCCCTACAGGAAGATTGGTACTTGTAACTGCCATCATCGCCACACCAATCACCCTCGACTCAAATTTCACCTGCTGCAGAAGGCACCAACCAGGGGTGCAGTGTGGGTCAGAGCACAGTGGGCCTCCCTACCCATTCAGGGCCCGTGTGCAAGTGCACACCTTGCACCCATGGGTGATATGCCCTGGCTTACCTGACTGTCCCCTTACTCTCCAAACTAGTCAGCCAGTTGTGGTTGTCTGTGATGCTACTGTCTACAGACAGGATTATTGTTGCTTGACCTCACCAGAAATCAACCCGATCAGGCAAAGATTATCTCATCAATGAGGACCTACAAGCTGATCATTCTTACAATCTCCTATAGATTTAAAAAACAACTATGTAGTGTAAGGTCTAGCTTAGGCAATCCAATTAATATTTATTCAGACCTTGGAAAAACAAAAGTCAAACTAAAGAAGACTGCAATCAGATGTCCATCTTAACAGTTGAGCATCCTTATGGCAATAACTATCCTCAGAGATTCCAGATGTAGATACAGTTTCTCCTATGTTAAGAAAAACACAAATCGTGCACGATCATATACATTTATTTACAAAAATACAGTTTAGGACAACAATAAAATAACAGTAATTTTAATAAGGATACCATGAATAAAAAGTCTTTTTTTTAACCTGATGAGTACAGATTTATTTTTTACCATTGCACCGATTGTAACTTTGGCAAACATTTATTAGTACAATTTACTACATGCAAACAACTTGTTACATGCACTTTCAGGTACACCTGTTCAATTGCTTTGTAACACAAAGTGTTAATCAGCCAATCACATTGCAGCAACTGAATATATTTAGGCATGTAGACGTGGTTAAGACGTCTTGCTGAAGTTCAAACCGAGCATCAGAATGGGGAAGAAAGGGGATTTAAGTGACTTTGAACGTGGCATAGCTGTTGGTGCCAGAGGGGCTGGACTATTTCAAAAACTGCTGATCTACTGAGAATTTCATGCACAACCATCTCCAGGGTTTACAGAGAATGGTCCAAAAAAGAGAAAATAACCAGTAAGCAGTAGTTGTGTGAAAATGCCTTGTTGATGTCAAAGGTCAGAGGAGAATTGAAAGACTCGCTGCAACATTTAGATGGTAGGAGCAGAATTTGGCGTAAACATGAAAGCCTGTCTTGTATCAACGGTTCAGGCTGGTGGTGGCGTAATGGTGTGGGGGATATTTTCTTGGCACTAGCAAGGTATACAGTGGGGCAAAAAAGTATTTAGTCAGCCACCAATTGTGCAAGTTCTCCCACTTAAAAAGATGAGAGAGTCCTGTAATTGGCATCATAGGTAGACCTCAACTATGAGAGACAAAATGAGAAAAAAAAATCCAGACAATCACATTGGCTGATTTGGAAAGAATTTATTTGCAAATTATGGTGGAAAATAAGTATTTGGTCACTTACAAACAAGCAAGATTTCTGGCTCTCACAGACCTGTACCTTCTTCTTTAAGAGGCTCCTCTGTCCTGCACTCATTACCTGTATCAATGGCACCTGTTTGAACTTGTTATCAGTCCACAACCTCAAACAGTCACACTCCAAACTCCACTATGGTGAAGACCAAAGAGCTGTCGAAGGACACCAGAAACAAAATTGTAGACCTGCACCAGGCTGGGAAGACTGAATCTGCAATAGGCAAGCAGCTTGGTGTGAACAAATCAACTGTGGGAGCAATAATTAGAAAATGGAAGACATACAAGACAACTGATAATCTCCCTCGATCTGGGGCTCCACGCAAGATCTCACCCCATGGGGTCAAAATGATCACAAGAACGGTGAGCAAAACTCCCAGGACCACACGGGGGGACCTAGTGAATGACCTGCAGAGAGCTGGGATCAACATAACAAAGGCTACCATCAGTAACACACTACGCCGCCAGGGACTCAGATCCTGCAGTGCCAGACGTGTCCCCCTGCTTAAGCCAGTACATGTCGGGCCCGTCTGAAGTTTGCTAGAGAGCATTTGGATAATCCAGAAGAAGATTGGGAGGATGTCATATGGTTAGATGAAACCAAAAGATAAAACCAAAATAGAACTGTTTGGTAGAAACACAACTCGTCGCATATGGGGGAGAGAGAATGCTGAGTTGCATCCAAAGAACACCATGCCTACTGTGAAGCATGGGGGTGGCAACATCATGCTTTGGTGCTGTTTCTCCGCAAAGGGACCAGGACGACTGATCCATGTGCAGGACAGAATGAATGGGGTCATGTATCGTGAGATTTTGAGTGCAAACCTCCTTCCATCAGCAAGGGCATTGAAGATGAAACGTGGCTGGGTCTTCCAACATGACAATGATCCCAAACATACCGCCCGGGCAACGAAGGAGTGGCTTCGTAAGAAGCATTTCAAGGTCCTGGAGTGGCCTAGCCAGTCTCCAGATCTCAACCCCATAGAAAACCTTTGGAGGGAGTTGAAAGTCCGTGTTGCCCAGCGACAGCCCCAAAACATCACTGCTCTAGAGGAGATCTGCATGGAGGAATTGGCCAACATACCAGCAACAGTGTGTGCCAACCTTGTGAAGACTTACAGGAAACGTTTGACCTCTGTCATTGCCAACAAAGGATATATAACAAAGTATTGAGATGAACTTTTCATATTGACTAAATACTTTTTTTCCACCATAATTTGCAAATAAATTCTTTCCAAATCAGCCAATGTGATTGTCTGGATTTTTTTTTTCTCATTTTGTCTCTCATAGTTGAAGTCTACCTATGATGCCAATTACAGGCCTCTCTCATCTTTTTAAGTGGTAGAACTTGCACAAATGGTGGCTGACTAAATACTTTTTTGCCCCACTGTACCTAAAAAAAAAAAAAAAAAAAAAAGTGGCTGGTGAGTGTATTTCGAGGTTATCTGCTGCAACTTTACAAACCCCTGTTTATGTTTGATGATGGGTGTCACAAGCTTATGTGTACTTTGAATAGAGAAAACCACTTGCTGTACATTCTAAATGATCTCCAATGTTCTAGTTTCTGTTTATTTCAGCCTCTTTGACATAAGTTGCCGGAAAGTCAAGTTAACTCTAGGAGCAATGACTCTCTTCCTTACGGGAAGGCTGTGATACCAATAGACATTGGTTGGGAAATTCATCATAAGCAAGCTTCCATGTTCTAGTTCTAGCTTCACAGGCTGAATTTGACATATAGAATTTTTGCTGCGGGAATCTCTGTGCCGGAAGACAAAATCTCTGCATGCTCCAAAAGACACAGAAGCAATAGGGCTCTGTGGGACAAGCTCCTTCTCATCATCTCTGTGGTCACCTATGTGATCATTTCCATCTTTATACCTTCCAAAAATGAAAAGAAAAAAATCATTACCTTCCTAGATAAAAGTAATTTTCTATATATTTATTCTGTTCTGTCCAAAATGTTTGTGCGGTTTTTGCTTATCTGACAATGAGTATCAGTATAAAACTAAGTGATCTACAAACTCTAAGTTTTGACAGATACAACATCTCTTTGGGAAACGTTTTTTTTTGCCTATACAACTGATTAAAAGGGACTAACATTCAATTAGAAATATAAGTAATTCTCCAGAGATTTGCACAAAGGGCTGTCACTTTTTCAGCTTATTGGATCCCCAGTCACTATCTACTTTGCTGAAACAAAGACCTGTGTCAGCAGATATATAGATGCCTGTAGTGAGCCATTATATCTAAATGGATGCACTCGGTCTATTGTAAACATCTTACTGATCTCCCTATTTACATTAATATCCTCCTGGGCAGTTTCCTGTCCCAAAGCACTTTAAAGTGAATGTAAATTTTTTTTTTTTTTTTTTTTTTAAAGCTGCTCTGTGCAGCTTTCCATGGTAGTATATGTGCAGGCTTGATCTCAGGGCAGGCTGTGTGTGTATCTATTGCCCCACTCCCTCATCACTAGATTTGATTGACAACAGCAGGTGCCAAAGTTGGGAGAGCGAGAGCAGCAGCGACGGATCGTCAGCGGGCTCAGGTAAGTATTTGGGGGGGGCTGGGGGAGAGCTGCAAATAAGTTTTTTTTTTTTACCTTAATACTGAGAATGCATTAAGGTAAAAAAAAACTTTAGCCATTACAACCACTTTAAAGTCTTTTTCTTCTGCACATTAGCACCCTCTGGAGAACTTGCTGATCTCCAAAACGTGGGTTACACAGTGCTTTGGGGGAACACAGAGACTATTCATAACCATTTTGCATTTTTACTCAAATTATCAACATTTTCAACCCTTTCAAAGCTTCCACTATTGGTTTGTCAAGGATTAGTTCAGATGTATCAAAAAACATTTCATTTGCACAAGACCTCATTCAAGCATAAATTAGCAAAACTGTTAAAAAAAATTTTTGCCTACTTTGGTCAATGGCTATTTCATGAGGCTCATAAAGAGTAGGGATTCAAAAAAAGTTTACAATAAAAAAAAAAAAAAAAAATTAAAGCACCTTGTCACCCTGCACATACGCATCCAAACATACGATTAGGGCATGCATATTTATGTAAAAAATTGAGCAACACATGCAGGGTATTGTTACGCACCCTGGGGTGAGAAAAATAATTCCAGTTTCCTTATTCACACTTATCTGTAGGCTAATGAGCCGTAAAAGCTTTTAAAGCATTACCTAGTAATAATTTTGGGTACCCTCATTTTCTTTTTTAAGTGATTGTAAACCTATTGTTTTTAATAACAAACATGTCATAGTTACCTGCTCTGTGTAATGGTTTTGCAAACAGCAGCCCTGATCCCCCTCTTCTCGAGTCCCCCCGCTGGTGGCTCCTGCCTCCTCTCACATGCAGAGTGCACACCATAGCAAGCCACTTGCTATGGGGGCACTTGTCGCTCCCAAGCTGCACTGTGTACAGTGGGGATTGAAAGTTTGGGCACCCCAGCTAAAAATTTGTATTAATGTGCATAAAGAAGCCAAGGAAAGATGGAAAAATCTCCAAAAGGCATCAAATTACAGATTAGACATTCTTACAATATGTCAACAAAAGATAGATTTTATTTCCATCATTTACACTTTCAAAATAACAGAAAACAAAAAAATGGCGTCTGCAAAAGTTTGGGCACCCTGCAGAATTTATAGCATGCACTGCCCCCTTTGCCAAGCTGAGACCTGCCAGTGTCATGGATTGTTCTCAGTCATTGTCTGGGAAGACCAGGTGATCTCAATCTTAAAGGTTTTAAATGCCCAGACTCATCTGACCTTGCCCCAACAATCAGCACCATGGGTTCTTCTAAGCAGTTGTGTAGAAAACTGAAACTGAAAATAGTTGACGCTCACAAAGCTGGAGAAGGCTATAAGAAGATAGCAAAGCGTTTTCAGATGTCAATATCCTCTGTTCGGAATGTAATTAAGAAATGGCAGACATCAGGAACAGTGGAAGTTAAAGCAAGATCTGGAAGACCAAGAAAAATATCAGAGAGAACAGCTCGCAGGATTGTGAGAAAAACAATTCAAAACCCACGTTTGACTGCACGATCCCTCCAGAAAGATCTGGCAGACACTGGAGTTGTGGTACACTATTCCACTACTAAGAGATACTTGTACAAATATGGTCTTCATGGAAGAGTCATCAGAAGTAAACCTCTTCTACGTCCTCACCACAAAAATCATCGTTTGAACTTTGCAAATTAACATATAGACAAGCCTGATGCATTTTGGAAACAAGTTCTGTGGACCAATGAGGTTAAAATTGAACTTTTTGGCCGGCATGAGCAAAGGTACGTTTGGAGAAGAAGGGGCACAGAATTTAATGAAAAGAACCTCTGTCCAACTGTTAAGCATGGGGTTGGATCAATCATGCTTTGGGGTTGTGTTGCAGCCAGTGGCACAGGGAACATCTCACGAGTAGAAGGAAAAATGGATTTAATAAAATTTCAGCAAATTTTGGATGGTAACTTGATGCCATCTGTGAAAAAGCTGAAGTTAAAGAGAGGATGGCTTCTACAAATGGATAATGATCCTAAACACACCTTGAAATCCACGGGGGATTACATCAAGAGGCGTAAACTGAAGGTTTTGCCATGGCCTTCACAATCTCCTGACCTCAACATAATTGAAAATCTATGGATAGACCTTAAAAGAGCAGTGCGTGACAGACAGCCCAGAAATCTCAAAGAACTGGAAGACTTTTGTAAGGAAGAATGGGCAAAGATACCTCAAAAAGCATTGAAAGACTCTTGGCTGGCTACAAAAAGCGTTTACAAGCTGTGATACTTGCCAAAGGGGGCAGTACAAGATATTAACTCTGCAGGGTGCCCAAACTTTTGCAGACGCCATTTTTTTGTTTTCTGTTAATTTGAAAGTGTAAATGATGAAAATAAAATCTAACTTTTGTTGACATATTATAAGAATGTCTAATCTGTATTTTAATGCCTTTTGGAGATTTTTCCATCTTTCCTTGGCTTCTTTATGCACATTAATACAAATTTTTAGCTGGGGTGCCCAAACTTTCGATCCCCACTGTATGTCCAATGACACACAAAGCGTGGCTCAGCCCTGCCCCCCATTCCCTCCTCACTGGCTGTGACTGATAGCTCTGGCTGCTGTCCTCTAAGCCTATGAGGAGGGAAGAGTGACGAGAGCCACTGGTCTCAATGGATCGAGATCAGAGAATGCATAAACGTAAAAACCTTCAGCCATTAGGACCACTTTAATTTCATGGGTGCATACAGTTTTGAGAGCTGACTCATATTGCAATTATTTTCTCAGTGTAAACATCTTATTTTTTTTTACTCAAAAATTGGGAATTAAATTCTGTTTGTGTGCATTAAAACTATTACACAACATACAAATTGCAAACATTGTGGTTTTATTCTACATGTCCGGTAATTTGCTTTCAGAAAATACACTGCTCTAAAAAATTAAAGGAACACTTTAATCAGAGTATAGCATCAAGTCAAGTAGCAGAAGGGGTTGTTAATCAGTTTCAGCTGCTCTGGTGTTATTGAAATTAACAGGTGCACTAGATCGGCAACAATGAGACAACCCCCAAAACAGGAATGGTTTTACAGGTGGATGCCACTGACATTTTTTTCCCTACTCATTTTCTCTGACTGTTTTTCACTAGTTTTGCATTTGACTAGGGTCAGTGTCACTACTGGTAGCATGAGGTGATACCTGGACCCTACAGAGGTTGCACAGGCAGTCCAACTCCTCCAGGATGGAACATCAATACGTGCCATTGCCAGAAGGTTTGCTGTGTCTCCTAGCACAGTCTGAAGAGCATGGAGGAGATTCCAGAGACCGTCACTTATTCTAGGAGAGCAGTAGAAGGTTCTTAACCCATCAGCAGGACCGGCATCTGCTCCTTTGTGCAAGGAGGAACAGGATGAGAACTGCCAGAACCCTAAAAAATTATCTCCAGCATGCAACTAGTGGGAATGTCTCTGACTAAACAATCAGAAACAGACCACAAGAGGGTGGCCTGAGGGCCTGACATTCTCTAGTGGGCCCTATGCTCACTGCCCAGTACCATAGAGCTCGATTGGTATTTGCCATTGAACACCTGAATTGGCAGGTCTGCCACTGGCACCCTCTGCCTTTCACAGATGAGAGCAGGTTCAGCCTGAGCACATGTGACAGACATGAAAGGGTGTGGAGAAAGTTATGCTGCCTGTAACATCGTTCAGCATGACCGTTTTGGTAGTGGGTTAGTGATGGTCTGGGGAGGCATATCCATGGAGGAAAGCACAGACCTCTACAGGCTAGACAATGGCACCCTGACTGCCATTAGGTATCGGGATGAAATCCTTGGACCCATTGTCAGACCCTACGCTGGTGCAGTGGGTCCTGGGTTCCTCCTGGTGCACAACATTGCCTGGCCTAATGTGGCGAGAGTATGCAGGCAGTTCCTGGAGGATGAAGGAATTGATACAATTGAATGGCCCTCCATGCTCGCCAAACCTAACTCCAATAAAACACCTCTGGGATATCATGTTTCAGTCCATCCGACACCGCCAGATTGCACCTCAGACTGTCCAGGAGCTCAGTGATGCCCTGGTCCAGATCTGGGAGGAAATACCCCAGGACACCATCCGTCATCTCCTTAGTTGCATGCCCCGACATTGTCAGGCATGCATACAAGCACCTGGGGGCCAAACAAACTTCTGAGTACCATTCTGAGTTGCTGCAATAAAATTTCACAAAAGGGCTAGCCTGCTGCATCATTATTTCACTTTGATTTTCAGGGGGGTCTTTGAATTCAGTCCTCTGCAGGTTGATCATTTTCATTTCCATCAAACGATGGGCATCCTTACATTCCTAACACTTTATCCAGTCCATATCAGTATCAATATCCAGCATATTTTTCCCCATTGAGATCTGATGTGTTTTCAAAGTGTTCCTTTAATTTTTTTGAGCAGTGTATATAATGTTCTCGGGGGTTTTAAGTACTTTGCTAGGCAAAAATGCAGATTTTAACGTGTAATAAACATGAATAAATTGCTCCAGCCAGGAAATTGTTAAATATTATCCATAGCCCTAAAGGTCTATGAAGGTCCTATATTTTACTGAAAGTAAATTGTGAACTGTTATTCTAATACATGGAGAAGTGTTCATGGCTAGATCCACTTATAATACCTGTTGATTAGAACAAAGTTGAAGGAGTGTCCTGTGGCCAGTTTCACCTTGTCTCTTATACGATCCAGGACAGGAATCCAAGGCTTTGGAGACAATGTGATGCCAGAAAAATGCATAGGTCAACCCTTCATCTCCATAAGTTACTTGTTTTCTAGGTACAGTATGCCATTTTCCAAAAACATGAACTTTACTAAGATCCCCTGTGAATTAAAAAAAAAAAAAAGATTAAACTTATTGTAATAATTTTACTTCTTCTGTTCATGCTATTTTACAGTTTTAGTTGTATTAAAGGGTAAGCGTAGGGTATTTTCATGTGAGAACATGTTGCGAATCATTATTGGGTAAGCGTAGGGTATTTTCATGTTGCGAATCATTATTGTTGTGTTTGCTATAAAAGAAACCTGTGCTTAGAGAGATATGGAGGGGCTACCACTGCTGACCTTCGCCAGAAAATTACAGTCATCCTGACCCACTGGCTTCAATACATTATTCAGCTTACCTCTGAGGAGTCACAATCTACCGTATTTGCCGGCGTATAAGAATTGACCCTTGAAAATCTTCTCAAAAGTCGGGGGTCGTCTTATACGCCGGTACACATGTTAGGGGGGCTGCGGCATTATAGTACAGGGGTTTGCAGGGGCTGATGTCTCTTACCTGGATCCAGTCCCACGACGATCCGGTCCAGGAAGCGCGGCGTTCCTTTCAGTTCGGCCACTGGATGTTCGTGCGGCTGCTCGGCTCCGCCTCCTCACGGTGATTGGCCGCCAGAACTGTAGCTCAGGAAAGGCACACAGGCGGCCAATCACCGGCGAGGGGGCGGAGCCGAGAGCGGCCCCGCGAAAATTGAGTGCCGGAGAGCAGCAGGTAAGTGTGCTGTGTAGAGGTGCTGCTGCAACCATTATGCTGGCTGCAGCAGCACCATACGAGAAAACAGGGTCAGCAAGTCTCAGTGGGAGGAATAGTGCCCCATCATTGGTGTCACTGATACCAATGATGGGGCACTATTCCTCCCACTGATACCAACGATGGGGCACTATTCCTCCCCCCCACTGACACCAACGATGGGGCACTATTCCACCCCCGACACCAATGATGGGGCACTATTCCACCCCTCACTGACACCAATGTGATGGGACACCATTCCTCCCACTGACATCAATGATGGGGCACTATTCCTCCCAGTGATACCAATGATGGGGCACCTATTCCCCCACTGATACCAATGATGGGGCACTATTCCTCCCACTGATACCAATGATGGGGGCACTATTCCTGCCACTGATACCAATGATGGGGCACTATTCCTCCCACTGACACCAATGATGGAGCACTATTCCTCCACTGATACTAATGATAGGGCACTATTCCTGCCACTAATGCCAATGATGGGGCACTATTCCTGCCACTAATACCAATGATGGGGCACTATTTTCCTCCCACTGACATCAATGATGGGGCACTATTCCTCCCACTGATACCAATGATGGGGCACTATTCCTCCCACTGATACCAATGATGGGGCACTATTCCTTCCACTGATACCAATGATGGGGCACTATTCCTTCCACTGATACCAATGATGGGGCACTATTCCTCCCACTGACACCAATGATGGGGCACTATTCCTCCCACTGACATCAATGATGGGGCACTATTCCTCCCACTGGTGTGCATTGGAAGAGGGGTAGTCTTATACGGCGAGTATAGCCCAAACACTACATTTTAGCAGGAAAAGGAGGGGGGTCGTCTTATACGCCCAGTCGTCTTATACGCCGGCAAATACGGTACTGCTAAAAAATTAACTCCAAAATTAAGTAACAACATCATTTAATTGCCTGTTTTTGCCCCCTATGTTACCTAGCCAACCTTCCCAAGCCAAGAAGAAGAGTAACAACTAAGTACATTTTACACATTTACAAGGTTGTTTTAGATGTGCCCATAAAAATATTCACGGTAAGTACATACCTGAAAAATACACTATGTCCTGCTCCAGCTGCTGAAAGATCTCATTTGCTTCAATCTTAGTGAAGAGAATAGTATAATCACAGCTCAGGTTAGCTGCTCTTATCCTTCTCCAAACACGGCATTTCTCCGGTAAAGAATCAGACACTTCATTTTTATTCTTCTTTACCAGACCTTTCTCAGAAGAACCAGGATCTGAGGGTTCTGAATATTCTTCTATATGACCCTTTTTTTAGGAGAGGGAGTTTTTTTAACTATAAATTTATCCATACAAAAGTCACAAAGCGTTCACTTAAAAGAATAATGACTTTTTGTGTTTCAATTGAGAAGCCTAAAATAACAAAAAAACAGAAAATCAGGTAAATAACTATGAATACAAAGGAAATGATATTACACAGAGGAAAGACAGCAATATTGCCTTGTATAAATTATTTACATTGGGTGTATAAAATGAATAAAGATTGAAAGATGTGCAAAAGCTATGCTTTACTGGGAACTGTGTTTCTGGGAATCTTCCAGGACAGCAACCTGGAGACTACCACCTTTTATAGGAAACACAATACCAAATGTAGTTAAAAGACTCCTTAACCTCAGTTATCAAAAAAAAAGTAAGAATGGCCGCCAGTGTACATAGGGGAAACCCTATAAAATCCCTAAAAAAACGCACTCCAATCAGAATAAACCCTCATTCCAAAAAGAAACTCTGCATGCGAATATACTGTCCTTGAAGATTCCCGGAAACGTTGTTACCAGTAAGACAACATGGTGTTTTCAAGCCGTTTTCAAGGAAAGCTACTTGAGAGGATAAACAAGAAATAGTCTTAATGAAAAGTATACCTTATGGTGCCGTTCCAAGCTAGATGGAAGGAAAAGGATCACCCCACCGGCAAGAAAGAAGCTGGGAACATGACTCCAAGCCATTCCAAGGTCAGCCAATACAAGTGAAGGGATGGACGCTGCTCTAGACGGTGTGGCCAGTATGGCGGCTGAGGCCATTCCTCAACATTGGACTCCCGATATACTGGAACCCTGCTCAGATAGTACGCCTGTATGTTAAGTTTCCCTGATGTAGACAGCTGATAGGGACTCCTGTCCCCCGGATATACTGGAACCCTGCTCAGATAATACGCCTGTATGTTAAGTTTCCCTGATGTAGATAGCTACTAGGGACGCCTGTCCCCCGGATATACTGGAACCCTGCTCAGATTATACGCCTGTATGTTACGTTTCCCTGATGTAGACAGCTACTAGGGACGCCTGTCCTCCTGACATACTGGAACTGTGCTCAGATAGTACACCTGTACATTTTTTTTAGCTCCCCTGATGAGAACAGCTTCTAGGTATACCAGAAGCAACTCTCCCCAAAAGAGGATCTCTGGGACCAGAGAAAAAAAAATAAGGGGGGGGGGCTTTATTCCATCTTACCTGTTGATATCTGCTGACTTTTTAGCATTGCTTGAAAAAAATCAAAACATCTTTTCCTGTGATTTCTTCCTCAAAGGCAGCTAATGCATTTTTTATGACACCTAACCTCTGGGGGATTGCTCTGCCAATACTTCCCACATACCTTGTTCTTGTTCTAAATGGACAACCCAGTCCCAGGAGCTGGCATCTATGGTTATATTAATGAGAGAGACTGCGCCCAGGAGGGATCAAGAGACTCCTGGCAACAGAACTGTGCTGTCCAGTGATCTGTGCCTGTGGTTCCATGCCACCTACAAAAATCTTTTTTATCCTCCTGGAATGCAGCTAGGTCTCCATTACCCATTGAATTGCTGCTGTCATTAGATCCAGGGTGTTGATGAACTGCCTTATGGATACCTCAAGAGATTTGATCATTCCTACCAAGAAAACCAACTTGTCCATTTCCTCTGTAAGAAAAATATTTTGCTGACCTGAGTCTATCCTGTAACCCAGGAAAAAAATTTACTTCAAAAGAACTTAAGCTTGGGAATTGCCACCGACAATACTGAAATAACATTAAATAGAAGAATACTGATAACAAGTGATCTGCTTATGAGACCTGCCAATGAGATAGTATATACCAGTGGTCTCCATATTGTGGCCCGAGGGCCGGACGTGGCCCTTTGCTAACCTTTACCCAGCCCTTGGGGCACTATTCTGATATGATGCACTGTTCCTTCCACTGATATCAACAGTGGGGCATAATTCCTGCCACTGACACTAATGATGGGACACTATTCTGACCACGAATATCAATGATGGGGGCACTATTCTACCCACTGATATCGCATATATCAAAAATGCAGCGCTAAAACATAAGTAAATGAATAAATTATAAAATGATAAATACAAGCGCTAATGGTAAGCGCTATAAAGTGACAACAGTGTATCGTCTTAAATCAGAGGGATAAAATGACATAAACGTACACTATAAATGTATGTGAATACAAGTCCAAAAATTTTAGTGTTTAAAATTTCACATAGGTGCATCGACCATCCAGTGTCTGGGGGTACGGGTCGCTCTCACTGGAAATACATAAATAAGGTGCTCGTGACTTCCGTGGTAAGCAAAAGAGGTGTGATTGCACTCAACGGACGCACAATATTATTGCACATGTATGTAATAATCAGAAGGGCACTGGTGGTCATCTAGGAACCGGTAAGGATGAGGCACTCGGTTGGTACTTTACACACCCAGGGAAGGACTCCAGACCTCTCAGTGGGACCCTCACAGCATACAGGGACTGCTCCTTGGTGTCACTTACACCCGGCATCAAATTAGATCAGCAACAATGGGTATCCGCCTTAGGTAGCTTGTGCTGATCATTTTGTGTCTTCAGATGGCAAAATGTAAGACTATACTGGAGTAAAATGGAGTTACTTAATCAAAATGACCATCGCTCATCAGTAGCGGCGGCTAGAGGTCAGCAATAGGGCTCCATCCAACGCGTTTTGTGTAATAACATGTCCTCAGGGGTACACCCATCATGCAACAAAAGTGAGTGCCAGCAGTTTAGACACTATTGGCTGTGTGTTGAGTTATTTTGAGGGGACAGCAAATTTACACTGTTATACAAGCTGTACACTCACTACGTCACATTGTAGCAAAGTGTCATTTCTTCAGTGTTGTCACATGAAAAGATAGAATAAAATATTTACAAAAATGTGAGTATACTCACTTCTGTGAGATACTGTGTATATATGTATGGATAGACAGATATATATATATACACACACACGATTTGCATTTCCGCCCTACTCACACTGCCATTGGTAGCTACAGATGTCAATCGCCAGGTACCAGCTGGAGATTTCCATCCGGCAATCACCGAGTAACACTAACACAGGTCTCTCTCCTGCCAGCAAGAACATGCTGCTGTGTATTTTCTCTCACTGCACGGCAGAGAAATACACAGCAGCATGTTTTTGTGTCATCTGACACAGCTGTCTATGCAAATCACACCAAATGTACTGCATGCACTACTTTAGAAATCGGTGTGGCTCCGACCAAGTCAGAACCGCACCGTTATGACTGCTGTAATAGCAGACAATAGGGTGCAACTTGGCATATGATTTGCAAATCACATGCCAAGTCGCACCCAATGTGACCATACGTTCACCTTTGGGAAGATGTTCAATGTTTCACCGGTTTTTAGGGTGGAACATGTTTCCATAGCCGCAAGGCTGGAGGGCAGGAGGTTAAGTAAACTGAAGCAAAAGTGCATTTGCCCTATAGACGTATTTTTCCGACAGATACCACCTGTTCAGTTGCCATGGGCAACACTTTCAATAAAGAGCACTGTGCCCAGAGTTCCACAGTCCTCTCACTTTCTTTGGGTTTCTAATAATAATCAGCCCTCCATTATGTGGAGACAGTGTACGTTTAGTTGGGGTTTATCAGGCAAGACAGTGCTGCCTGTCATCCTCTTGTCATCCCAGGTCTAGCACTGCTGGAGGAAGGTTAGATTAGGCGGTAACTATGGTAACTCGTCCAGATGGATCCTCCTCCTAGGAGGCAGGACAGAAGCAGCGAATTTTGGCGCCAAATTCTCCCAATCCCCGAGCTAGTGACAGGCACACTGAATCCCGGCAGGAGCAGCCATGCTCGGGCAGAAGACCATCAATTCCTTCTTTTCCCAGGTCTCCAAGAAGCGCTCTTCCTCAGAGGCCTGGCCAGGAGAGGATGCTGACCGGGTAGACATAAAGAAACTACAGAGCTGCGAGGTACGTGTGGTACTGCGGGCGACTAGCAGTGGTGCGCCCATTGATATTAACCGCGTGAGGCCTAGGACTTATACGAGTAGAGTGTGCAGTGTTAGTGTATAGAGAGTAGGAGACCTCTTACTACTATAGCAGGAAGACAGCGTGCTCTCCTCATGGGTCCTCCGTGCACCTCACGCCTCGTTTCGGTGGCCGAGCAGCCAATCGGAATGAAGGAGCCTGAGAGGGGCGAGGTCAGCGCTGAACTTGTTTTAGCGCGAAAATCCAGCATGTACCTCTGAGACCCGGAACTGACAGACCACGTGACGTAAGGGGCGTGGCAGCTGAGCTAACTCCGGGCTGAGAGCTGTGTGTTCGAACCATAACATATAGCTAGACAGCGAAATTGTATGAAGCCAGTTATATGATATGTCATTATGCACGTATATAGCTTTAGGGGTGTCAGGCATCTGTGTAAGTTCAAGTTCTGCATCCCTCGACCATTCTCTGATTATTCTCCTCAGACCACTCCTGTCAAAAAGACAAGACAAGAAGATGAGGAAAACCAGCCACAAGTCACCTCTTCTCCCCTGAGCCCCGAACAGCTGGACCGCATTCAGAAGAATAAAGCGGCTGCGCTACAGAAACTCGCAGCCCGCTATGTGCCCGAAGGATTCGGGGAAAGCTGGAAGCAGGAGCTGCTTTCTGAGTTTGCCAAGCCTTACTTTGTGAAGGTAAAAGTCTCAGCAACAGCAGGTTTTTTTTTCTTTAATAAACTGCAAATTAAAAATGGTGCTTACCCTGTGCTGTGATATCTCCAACAAAGCACTCCTGATTGTGGACAAAAAAATTATCATATATGCTTGCAAAATTAAGGGGATGATTTACTAAAGGCAAATCAGTTTTGTTCACTTTGCAAGGGAATTTACCCTAAAGCTTAGTGACATTTCACTTTGCAAAGAATACCTTTGTGTGCTAGAAAAATAAAATGGGCATATTTTTGTTCATTAATTGGATGGTGGATTATCTCCTAACAAAGCACTCCTGATTGTAGAAAAAAAAAATTATAATCATACATGCTTGCAAAATTAAGGGAATGATTTACTAAAGGCAAATCAATTTTGTTCACTTTGCAAGGGAATTTACCCTAAAGCTTAGCGACATTTCACTTTGCAAAGAATACCCCGTTGTGAGCTAGAAAAATAAAACAGATATTTTTTTTTCTTGTTCATGATTGGATAGTGGAAGTCAACAGAGCATCACCTCATTCACGAAGCTCTGGGGAAAATGTCCTTGCAGAATGGACAGCCAGCCTGTTTGCATTTTAGTACATCAACCCCTATGTGTCTTGTAGTTTTTCCAAGAAAGACATACAGCTGCTGTGGGACACACTGCAGGATCTGGGATGCTTTATGATCTCTTGGCTTCAGCTCATCTGTTTGAATTGCTCAGAGGTCCTAGACTTTGCTGTATTCCTTTTAGTTGCCTAAGGGGCAAGAGACCACCATTGGGCAGAATGGCTCCTCCTAGTCCTATTTTTTTTTCCCTCAATTGTTGATGGTTAAGTTTTTTTTTTTTGTTTTTTTTGTTTTTTTTTTGTGGGTAACAAATGGCAGTGTTACTAAACCCACAACAGTGAAATCAGTCTGTACATGTAATAAAGCATGCTTGTTATACTCACTGTGGAACCTAAGGGGTTAATCCTCTGCATTGTGTAAAAAGGCTGTTTGATCCTGACTTCTCTGCCCCTCATCTTGTTCGGATGTCCATGCTGATAAAACAGACTGAACCCATAGCCCTTCTGCACATGCTCAGTTTAATGTGTATTGCTAGAGAGGGTTTTTTTTTCTCTTAGGAGAGTGCATGTGATCAGCACAGGGCTAATCATCATTGTCCAGACAGGTCAGGGGTTCTGCATCCTCCTAGAGCAGAAAGAAACTCCTCCTACAAGCCTTAACCAGTGCTCAGCTGAAGTCACAAGACTGCTCTAACTTGTGATAAAAGGTATTTAGCAGTTTATATTTACTAAAATAATTGCACGTCTATGTGCTGTGTACTGTGGGAGACCAGATATAGTGAATGCAGGACCCTGGGTTTAGTAACACTCTAAAGAGGTATTGCAGTGTTACTAAACCCAGGTCCCCACATTCACTATATCTGGTCTCTCACAAAACATGGAGTGTAATTTAGTATATATAAAACTGCTAAATACTTTTTCTCATCAGCAGTTAGAGCAGCCTTATGACTTCTATCAATGACCAGCCGAAGCACATGCTGAAGCTTGTAGGAGAAGTTTTCATTCTGATGTAGGATGATGCAGGACCCCCGACCTCTGTCTTGACAGTGCTGATTAACCCTGTGCTGATCACATGCAATGCAACACACCAAACTGAGCATGTGTGGAGTGTCTTTATACATTGTGTTATCAGGAGATAGGAGGGGGACACTGGAAGAAGGGGAGGATCAGAGAAGTCAGGATCAAAAAGGGTTTTTGCACAATGCAGAGAATTAACCCCTTAGGTTCCGCAGTGAGTAGAACAAGCATGATTTACTGCATATACAGTTTGATTTTACTGTTGTTGGTTTAGTAACACTTTAAAACCAAGAGCAAACCTTTTTTATTTTGCAGCTTACCATTTCTTAGAAATGACGGCTGTATCAGTATTCCTTTTTTAGGCTTGCTTCCATTTTTATCTGGCAATCCATCCAGTAAGTCTGTTGTTTTTCAAAAGCACAAGCTCTCCAACAGAATATCAGTTTACATGGATGAGACAACCCATTCAACACTGAGGTGATTAAAATGATCCGCTTTTATTTAATCATGTAAAACCTTTATCCCAAAAGAATAACTGGTTGCTGTAATTGAATACAAATTATGAGCTGGAGTTTGGCTTCAATTTGTTCTTGCATTCAAAATTGCTTGTACGTTTACCACTCTCCTCACCATCCCAGGCTGATATTGCTACTGTGCCTCATGTGCTCATTCCTCCAGAGTTGTTTTACTAATACAGGAGGAGTGTTACTGTTCAGATCACCAAGGGAAGAAAAAAAAAAAAATGATGCAGCCACCACATCTGATTGGTGAGCTGCAATATAATACATTTTGGCTTTGGGCTTAATACTGCTTTAAAAAGTGAGCAGTAGAGAGGGGGTTTGGTAGGTATAGAACTGACTTGTTACACAACCGATTCCAAGAAAAGAATAATATAAAATAGTTTGCAAACCTAGAGAATTGGGATGCACACTGGTCACATGTAAAAAGCTCAATGCATTTTAGTGAGCATGCATAGAGCACGTACAGCAACACACGGAGCACCTCCCACCTGAGGCCACGTGTGTCACCCATTCTAGGAATGAATAGTACTTCCCTTTCACATGGAACAGGTCCAGAGAGTAGTGATAAATGACTCATTCTCTAAATGGTCTAAATTTGTGAATGGTGTGCCCCAATGCTGTTCAATTTGTTTTATTAATAGAGCGGTTGGAATAAAGAGCTCAATTATAGTGTTTGCTGACAATACCAAATTATACAGGAAGATAATTTTTGCACTGGATATAGCACAATTACAGGAAGAATTTGATAGAATAGAGGGTTGGGCAACTACATTGCAGATGAGGTTCATTATTATTGAGAAATGTAAAGTTTACTTGGATGCCAAAAGTACCGCTTAGGAGGGGCTATACTGGGAAAATAAGTGATGTAAGGGATTTGGGGGTGCCTGTAGATCAGACTTTGGCAATCGTGTGCAATGCCACACTGCAGCTAGCAAAATATTGCCATGCATTATCAAGTCATACATTCAAGAAATAAATCAATAATTCCATCCCTTAGCAAAACACAGGTTCAGCCTCATTTTGGGAGCTGACCAATAGAATGCATCCTGTTAAAAAAGGATAAGTTCACCTTTAAGAACCTGTTACATGTTACTCCCATTTTTAGGGTGGAATATGTAACGTTTTTTTCAATTCTACGGTCGCTGCCCAATTCTTATTTTTACTTTTTTTTTTTTTTTAACGCTTCCATGTGTACTGCTAAATAAGATATGAAAAGCAATAATCAAGAACCCCACTGATTGTGTTTTTTTTTTTTTTTTTTTTTTTTTTTTTTTGTCAAACAGAGCTTGCTTAAGATGCAATAAATAATATATTGGCCAGGTCATTCAAAAAAGCTTTCCCCTACCTATGTACAGACTTGGCAAAAAATACTATTGAATTAGTATATTTTTAAATTACTTCTAGTGATTTGTTTTGTAGGAACATACATACAATATACTAAATATGATACCCTTTCTTCTCATTTAGTTGACAAATTACGTCTCAGAAGAACGGAAGCGATGCACTGTATATCCCCCTCCTCACCAGGTCTTTACCTGGACTCAGATGTGTGACATTAGAGATGTAAGTGAGCCAATATATTATTTGTCAGTGTTTGTGTGCAAAACTAAATGTGATGGATTGAAAAGGTCTAAACAGGAGTCTATATCAGACACAGTCATTGTATATCTTGCATTCAGATTCACGAAGTAGTGATTTTAAAACAAAAAAAAAGGGAAAAGATTTATCTTCCACAAAGACTTCTTCCCAGTAAGAGCGCTATGAAAATGTGGAATAGACTCCCTCAATAACTAGATCTAGCCGACTCAGTAGATTGTTTTACAAAAGAACTGTATGCATTCCTACATGCACAAAATCTAACTGGGCATTAACTTTAAAGGTAATGACACAAGAGATTTTTGATCAAGAAAATATCAGATCGCCTTCTGGGGGGCTAGGAAATAACTTATTTTTCCCCTGGTTGAGCAGATTGGACCATGCTCCTATAGGGTTTTTTTGTCTTCCTCTGGATCAACTGTGGGTAAAAGATTCTGTATATTGAGGTTATCTAAATTTTATTTTTTTATATTGCTTGAACTGGATGGAGTTTTTCAACCTGACTAACCATGTAACTATGAATAATGTGATGCTGTGCTTTACTAGTCTTTACCTCAGTAAACCAGCTCTTTTGTGTGTGCAAGTGCTGCTTTAATTATTTTGTTATGGCTGAAAATGAAAAATAAAATTTAAAGGATAAGTTCACTTTATGACCAAAAATAATAAATGCACATTTTTTTATTTTTTTTTTGCAGGAAACAAAAATGTGCATTTATTTTTGGTTGCATGAGCATGTAAAACAAAAGGTCTCCTGCAGATCTGTCAGTATATCTGCTTGCCTGTACAGGCAAGCTGATATACCGACAGGAAAAGTCAATGAACTACCACAGTGCTCCACAGCGCCATGGTAGTTAATTGAGAATTACATGCTGACAGCCGCTAAGGCTGTCAGAACTTGTAATTCGTTCATTCACAGAATTCTCTTTTTAAAAAGTGACAGGTTGTACAGGGAACTTCTCCCTGTACTGCTGTCACAGGTGAACTTACCCTTTAAAGCCTGGAGCCTAAGCTAATGTGATACGTAAACAAATATTCATATAACTCATTAAAACTGGAGACTGTAAATTATCCGTATAGCTGATACAAACAAACACACTGTTGAAGTGATGCATTCAGGATGTCTAAGTTTGCTGTCCCTAAGGCTTTCTCTGGGTTCCAGCAGCAGATTTCTGCAGCTGCAATGACCAGGGCAAGCAAATAACAGTAGCCTCTAAACCTGTATAAACTAATGGCAGGCTGACGGCAACTGCCGCTGTTGACACATGCCGATGTAGCCACAAACCAAGTGTTAACTTGTGGATGTCTAAATCAAGACAATGAGTTGATCCTCTTGTGTGACCAACCATACATGTCCATTTAACTCTTATGGGCAACACATGTAAATCCAGTCAGAATAAGCCTTACCCAAAAATGTCAGAGTGCATTTAACAGGATGAAAATGCAATAAAATGTGGCATGTTATATAAAATGTCTGTTTGTGCAAGGGGGTCTCCCCTCACCACATGGATTCATGAACACTGTTAAAGCTTTTGATCCTTCTTGGTATATTGGATGATGATCTAGTGCCTGATGCTTTTATTAAGGAAGCAGTCTCTAGAGCTTTATTCTTGGCACGTAGAGGCATTTTGCTTCACTGGAAAAATTCCTCCCCTCCCACATATAGGGAATGGATAAATTCTGTGGGAACCAGTCTTGGATACGAAATTATCAACACAGAGGTTGTCCATCTAAATTTGATAGAGTGGAGTGGGTGGCTGGATATTCCCGGGCAGGCTACAGGGAATAGTCATGGACAGAATGTTATGGTAATATGCTGCCTCTTTGGTACCTATATCACCAATCTTATGAGGTCTTTGTGTTGAACTAAGAAAACCATAGGCTGAGCTGTAAATAGTGGCTGGACCTGAATTATGCTGGTGGTATCGAGGTAAAAGGAGTAGATTGTTTGTTCGACATTGTTTGGTACTGTGCCTTCACTGCCTGATATGTGGCTATGGAGCTATGTGTAATGTAGCTGTATATGATTGTGTCATAATGGTTCTGGAACGTCAACTATGTAAGTTTGTGTAAACTTAATAAAGCTTCTCTTTTTGACAAAAAAAGCTTTTGTGACATTTAATACATTTTAAGGGTTTTTGAATGCCTATTTACATAGTTACATTTTTTATTTTTCCCTAGGTGAAGGTTGTCATTTTGGGGCAGGATCCTTACCATGGACCCAAGCAGGCTCATGGATTGTGCTTTAGTGTTCAGAAGCCTGTACCACCTCCACCCAGGTACCCAGATTTAGTTTTATGTGAGTTTTTTATGCCTTGTACACTCACTGGCCACTTTATTAGGTACACCTGTTCAATTGCTTAATAACACAAATTGCTAATCGGCCCATTACATGGTAGCAACTCAATGCATTTAGGCATCCAGATGTGGTGAAGAAAACTTGCTAAAGTTCCCCGCTGCCCATTAAGGATTGGCACCTTTTGACAGGTACCCGCTCCCACTTCGACTGCCATCGCCTAAGGTGATCAGAAGTGGAAGTTGTTGTCCCCCCTTCCCACCCCGTAGTCTTCTGGGACATGTGACAGGTCCTAGAAGACCACAGGGCCATTCACAAAGCGCAGCACTTCTCGCACATGCGCAGTGGGCACCTGGCTGTGAAGCTACAAGCTGTCACAGCCGGGTGCCCACACTGAAGATTCCGGCGCCAGGGAGAGAAGGTGGCCGGTGAAACCAGCTGTGGTGAGGACACCACTAGACTTAGGGACTGGTAAGTGACTGTATTTTAAAAGTCAGCGGCAGTTTTTGTAGCTGCTGACTTTTATTTATTTATTTTTTCCCAGCTGGAACTCCACTTTAAATCCCCTTTCTTCCCCATTCTGATGCTCTGTTTGAACTTAAGCAAGTAGTCTTCTCCACGTCTACATGCCTAAATACATTGAGTTACTGCCATGTGATTGGCTAATTAGCAATTTGTGTTACCAAGCATTTGAACAGGTGTACCAAATAATGACGAGTGAGTGTTTAAATTGGAGAATTTCAAGTTCTGCACTGCATTCTTGCGTCAAACCAATGTAGCGGAACCTTTTTGTTTTATTCTTGGATAGTCTGGAGAGTTGGGTCCTGCCAGGTTTTCATTTCTATCTGTTCTTCTTTTTATGTTAATTTTGTATTGTGTGGGATTTTTTTTAAATTCAAGTGGGAAAAGGTTTTACCTTGCCGTGTGTGTGTGTGTGTGTATGTTTTGTGTTTTTTTTTTTTTTTTTTTTGTTGCTTTTATGTGTTTTTTGATTTGGAGAGGTTCCCAGTTATAACCTACCCAGCGGCACTTTTTATAATGGGGACATGAAGTGAGGTGTTACCTACACAACAGGGATATACAGTGGGGATCGAAAGTTTGGGCACCCCAGCTAAAAATTTGTATTAATGTGCATAAAGAAGCCAAGGAAAGATGGAAAAATCTCCAAAAGGCATTAAAATACAGATTAGACATTCTTATAATATGTCAACAAAAGTTAGATTTTATTTCCATCATTTACACTTTCAAAATAACAGAAAACAAAAAAATGGCGTCTGCAAAAGTTTGGGCACCCTGCAGAGTTAATATCTTGTACTGCCCCCTTTGGCAAGTATCACAGCTTGTAAACGCTTTTTTGTAGCCAGCCAAGAGTCTTTCAATTCTTGTTTGAGGTATCTTTGCCCATTCTTCCTTACAAAAGTTTTCCAGTTCTTTGAGATTTCTGGGCTGTCTGTCACGCACTGCTCTTTTAAGGTCTATCCATAGATTTTCAATTATGTTGAGGTCAGGAGATTGTGAAGGCCATGGCAAAACCTTCAGTTTACACCTCTTGATGTAATCCCCCATGGATTTCGAGGTGTGTTTAGGATCATTATCCATTTGAAGAAGCCATCCTCTCTTTAACTTCAGCTTTTTCACAGATGGCATCAAGTTACCATCCAAAATTTGCTGAAATTTTATTGAATCCATTTTTTCTTCTACTCGTGAGACTGTGCCACTGGCTGCAACACAACCCCAAAGCATGATTGATCCAACCCCATGCTTAACAGTTGGACAGAGGTTCTTTTCATTAAATTCTGTGCCCCTTCTTCTCCAAACGTATCTTTGCTCATTCCGACCAAAAAGTTCAATTTTAACCTCATCGGTCCACAGAACTTGTTTCCAAAGTGCATCAGGCTTGTCTATATGTTCATTTGCAAAGTTCAAACGATGATTTTTGTGGTGAGGACGTAGAAGAGGTTTTCTTCTGATGACTCTTCCATGAAGACCATATTTGTACAAGTATCTCTTTATAATGGAATAGTGTACCACAACTCCAGTGTCTGCCAGATCTTTCTGGAGGGATCGTGCAGTCAAACGTGGGTTTTGAATTGTTTTTCTCACAATCCTGTGAGCTGTTCTCTCTGATATTTTTCTTGGTCTTCCAGATCTTGCTTTAACTTCCACTGTTCCTGATGACTGCCATTTCTTAATTACATTCCGAACAGAGGATATTGACATCTGAAAACGCTTTGCTATCTTCTTATAGCCTTCTCCAGCTTTGTGAGCGTCAACTATTTTCAGTTGCAGTTTTCTAGAAAACTGCTTAGAAGAACCCATGGTGCTGATTGTTGGGGCAAGGTCAGATGAGTCTGGGCATTTAAAACCTTTGAGATTGACATAACCTGGTCTTCCCAGACGATGATTGAGAACAATCCATGACACTGGCAGGTCTCAGCTTTGCAAAGGGGGCAGTGCATGCTATAAATTCTGCAGGGTGCCCAAACTTTTGCAGACGCCATTTTTTTTTTTTTTCTGTTATTTTGAAAGTGTAAATGATGGAAATAAAATCTAACTTTTGTTGACATATAGAATGTCTAATCTGTAATTTGATGCCTTTTGGAGATTTTTCCATCTTTCCTTGGCTTCTTTATGCACATGAATACAAATTTTTAGCTGGGGTGCCCAAACCTTCGATTCCCAACTGTAGATAGAATCCCTACATGGATTTTTAACTAAAAGTATATATGAACCCTTACTCTGTAAAACACCCCATTTGGTTTGAAGTAGAAATACAAAGCATAGTGTGTGTGATATTTAATGAATTGATATAGAGATAAATAGAGAGATGAGATATAGATAGAGAGAGATATAGATATATATATTTTGCCAAAAGTATTGGGACACTCCTCCAAATCATTGGATTTAAGTGTATAAAATCAAGCGTGTAGGCATGCAGACTGCTTCTACAAACATTTGTGAAAGAATGGGTTCCTTACAGGAGCTCAGTGAATTCAAGCGTAGTACCATGATAGGTTGCCACCTGTGCAATAAGTCCATCCGTGAAATTTCTTGGTACTAAATTTTCCATTGTCAACTGCTAGTGGTATAACAAAGTGTGAGCAACTGGGAACAGCAACTCAGCCATGAAGTGGTAGGCCACGTAAAATAACAGAGCGGGGTCGGTGCATGCTGAAGCGTAGAAGTCGCCAATTGTCTGCAGAGTCCATAGCTAAAAGACCTCCAAACTTCGTGTGGCCTTCAGATTACTACAACATTGTGTAGAGAGCTTCATGAAATGGGTTTCTATGACGAGCAGCTGTATCCAAACCTTACATCACCAAGTGCAAAGCATCAGAGGCAGTGGCGTAAAGCGTGCCACCATTGGACTCTAGAGCAGTGGAGATGTGTTCTCTGGAGTGATGAATCACTCTTCTGTCTGGCAATCCAATGGACGTGTCTGGCTTTGGCCGTTTCCAGGAGAACGGTACTTGTCTAACTGCATTGTGCCAAGTTTAAAGTTTGGTGGAGGGGGGATTATGGTGTGGGGTTGTTTTTCAGTGGTTGGGCTTGGCCCATTAGATCAGTGAAGGGAACTCTTAAGGTGTCAGCATACCAAGACATTTTGGAGAATTTCATGCTCCCGTTGTGGGAACAGTTTGGGGATGGCCCCTTCCTGTTCCAACATGATTGAGCACCAGTGCACAAAGCAAGGTCCATAAAGACATGAATGAGCGATTTTGGAGTGGAGGAACTTGACTGGCCTGCACAGTCCTGACCTCAACCTGATAGAACACTTTTGGGATAAATTAGAGCGGAGACTGCAAGCCAGGCCTCCTTGTCTGACATCAGTGCCTGACCTCACAAATGCGCTTCTGCTGGAAGAATGGTCAAACATTCCCATAGACACACTCCTAACCTTGTGGACAGCCTTCCCAGAAGAGTTGAAGCTGTTATAGCTGCAAAGGGTGGGCCAACTCAATATTGAACCCTATGGACTAAGACTGGGATTCCATTAAAGTTCATGTAAATGTAAAGGCAGGTGGCAGTGTGTGTGTGTACACTGACCCTCTTGGTGCAGGGGTGCATGTCTGAAGAAGCTTAACTATTGGAGGACAAGCATTTTGTGCTCCCTGCACAGCCAGAAAACTTGAAGTTGCAATGGATGTGCCACTATGCCTAGCATGGTCAGTTTGAAATGGGAAAGCAGGAGGACTGGTAGAATCACCAGGTATTCCTTACAAAGGAAGAATTACAGAGCAGATGATTTTTTTTTTTAAATACATGTATTGTGCAGCTGTCTTTTGGATTGCACATATGATTCTCATTTAATCTAGTTAGTGTGATTGTGTATAATGGCTTTTGACCTATCAAGATTGAGTGGATGTAGTAAAAACAAGAGAAAATTACAGTATGGCTTGCTTGTGTGTGTTGATTTTTGGGTTTTTTTTACTTTTGTATTGCTGCTTTAAAGTGGTTCTATTGCCTTTTTAACGTTTTTACCTTCATGCGTGCTATGCATTAAGGTAAAAAAATCTGTGCTGCAACACAATGCTGTGATCAGTGTCAAGCCGAGCCCACCCGGTCTGTCAGCAGATGCAGACAGGGCAGCTTGGGAGCAAGCCTACACAGGTGCCCCCATAGAAAGTGGCTTTCTATGGGGGCACTCGCCGAAGAGGAGGATTGGGGCTGCTGTGTGCTAAACCATTGCACAGAGCAGGTAAATGTAACATGTTTGTTTTCATAACACACTTTTTTTTGTTTTAATTAAATTTAGTAAAGTAACAATACAACGTCTGAAAGAACAGACAGTGGTCACTCAGAGTAATACAGAACTAAAGGGTGTGCCACGCAGTGCTCAAGGCGTACAAAGTAGTAGTGTAATACATTCCCATAAAGTGAAACACATTCAGTTAAGGAAGGATAGCATTATGGTAACATTTGACCCATGATTTCCGTTTATAAAAAGTCCGTGCTCATCTCTGGTCTTTTTGGCAGCTTATTGCATCTTGGGAAGTCTTAGTTGCAGGCAAACGTGTTTTGAATCCGCCTATTTCCTGTGTAACTTCAATTAAAAACTTCTTCTGTTGTTAGCCTGGAAAACATGTACAAGGAGCTTCAAGTGGATATTGATGGTTTTGAGCACCCTGGACATGGTGATCTATCTGGGTGGGCCAAACAAGGTAAAGATAATTTTTAGCTTTGGTTACATCCATTACAAAGGCATTCTGTAAAGGGCTTAGTAATATCCTATTTTAATTCCAATTGTCACTTTGTGATTTCACACGCAGATATGTATTTCCATATCTTAGGAAGTGTAATTTTATATCGCGGACAGTGATTCATGTGGGATATATTTTATTTTTCAGAAATGTAAAATAACTATCAGAGCTACTTCACTGCATGCAGCGACATAATTGCTACTGTGTCCCAGTGGACATATACAAATTTACCATGCACATGTACATCTAGATCTGTGTGATGAAGCACATATACGGAGAACAGGGAGATTCTCCTTGGCAAAATGGTCCTCACAGCTTGGAAATGATTCTTCAATATGACATTGCTGTGTAGTTTTGCTAGTCACTAAAAATGGTTGTAAAGGCTCAAGGTTTTTTTACCTTCATGCATTCTACTCCTGAAGGCAAAAAACCACCTGTATGCAGCAATCCCCCCCAATACTTGAGCCCCCTCTAGATACAGCGATGTGCACGAGAGAAGCGGCTCTCTGGGGAATCTTCCTCCTCATTGGCTGAGACAGCAGCAGGAGCAATTGGCCCCCACTACTGTCAATCACAGCCAGTGAGCGAATGAGGAGAGAGCGGGGGGGGTTTGCGCACTTGGCAGGAGGAGGGGCCAGGAGCATCAGCGGGGGACCCGAGAATAGGATGATAGAGATACCTTCTGAGCAGGTGAGTATAATAAATATATATAATTTCTTTTAGTGTTTTGCTGTTTTTTTGCTTTTGCGGGGTTCATGTTTGCACACTAATCTGATGGTTTTCCGCACAGCATGCATTGGCAAACAAAATGCTCAATCAACTAGACATATTTTTTTTTTTTTTCTGTGAATTCTGCATATGAGAAATCTAACCTGATTGTCTGCAGTGAACCCCACAACCTGATTTTCTTCCAGTTTTTTTTTTTTAACTAAAGGCACATTGTTTTACAATACTTTCTGCTCACTAAATTAAAAGTACATTAAAGCGGAGCTTCACCCACAAGTTGAGGTTTCGCTGTAAGGATTGGTCCCTCGCTTCCCGTGAACAACTGGCACCTTTGGGGAGCTGGTACCCGATTTTGACAGGTACCAACTTCCGCTCTGACCACCAAAGCAATTGGAAGCAGACGTTCTCCTGCCAGTTTTTGTAGCTTTTTTTTTTTTTTTTTTTTTTCCCTCCCCCAGGGACTGGAGCTCTGCTTTAATGAACTTTGATCTACTTTATTCATGCTCAGATGCATTAAAATTGCTATAAAGAGGATGCAGTTTAGAGATTTTTATCCTGTAATCTTTCTGCATGTGTTTGACATCTTTCTGCAGTTCTACTAAATCTAGATCTTCCAAAATGCTGTTTTGGATTTTAAATGTTTGGGTATAGGAGAGATACATATGCAATACCCAAGTCTCTATAATATTCTTTACTGGAGGTGTGCCACAAATATATTTTAAGATTAAATTATTGGATTCAGGAAACTTTTGCAGATGTTTCTAGTAGAAAGGTGCCCATAAATATTACACAAAAACTGTTTAATCCCTGAAAGTTTTAAAATATTTAGAGGCAATCAAACCTACTACTAAGGTGGCTTCAATAGACTATTGCAGGCCATAGATGGGGAGAAAAACTGCAGATTTTTCTTTTAAAAAACGAAAAATCGGTTGTTCAAGTGGCCGACGTTACCATCAATGGTAAAAAAAAAAACGGCCGATTTTCTACCCGTCTAGAGCCGGCAAAAAGTGTCCCTTCAGAGAGCTCTGCTATTTCTTTGACAGTTCTCTGACAGTTCCTTGACATTTATAGAAGTTGCAACAATGTATCTATTTGTTTCCATTTAGGATACAGATGTTTTTATTCGGAAACAAATAGATACAATGTTTCAACCGCTGTAAATGTCAAGGAACTGTCAGAGAACTGTCAGAAATAGCGGAGCTCTCTGCAGAGACACTTTTTGCTGGACTGGAATTCTTCTTATTTTCATCCTACTTCTTCTTCTTCCTCATCCTCATCCTCTTCTTCTTCATCCTCATCCCCTTCTTCTTCTTCTTCTTCATCCTCATCCTCTTCTTCTTCATCATCCTCATCCTCTTCTTCTTCTTCATCCTCCTCATCCTCTTCTTCTTCATCCTCTTCTTCATCCTCCTTCTTCATCCTCCTCTTCCTCCTCTTCCTCCTCTCCTCCTCTTCCTCCTCTTCCTCCTCTTCCTCCTCTTCCTCCTCTTCCTCCTCTTCCTCCTCTTCCTCCTCTTCCTCCTCTCCTCCTCCTCCTCCTCTCCTCCTCTTCCTCCTCTTCCTCCTCTTCCTCCTCTTCCTCCTCTTCCTCCCCCCCCCCTCCTCTTCCTCCCCCCCCCTCCTCTTCCTCCTCTTCCTCCCCCCCCCTCCTCTTCCTCCTCTTCCTCCCTCCCCCCTTCTCCTCCTCTTCATCCTCCTCTTCATCCTCTTCTTCATCCTCTTCATCCTCTTCTTCTTCTCTCCTCTTCTTCATCCTCTTCTTCATCCTCTTCATCCTCTTCTTCATCCTCTTCATCCTCTTCTTCATCCTCTTCATCCTCTTCTTCATCCTCTTCATCCTCTTCTTCATCCTCTTCATCCTCTTCATCCTCTTCTTCTTCCTCTTCATCCTCTTCTTCTTCCTCTTCATCCTCTTCATCCTCTTCTTCTTCCTCTTCATCCTCTTCATCCTCTTCTTATTCCTCTTCATCCTCTTCTTATTCCTCTTCATCCTCTTCTTATTCCTCTTCATCCTCTTCTTCTTCATCCTCTTCATCCTCTTCTTATCATCCTCTTCATCCTCTTCTTATTCCTCCTCATCCTCTTCTTCTTCATCCTCCTCATCCTCTTCTTCTTCATCCTCCTCATCCTCCTCATCCTCCTCATCCTCTTCTTCTTCATCCTCCTCATCTTCCTCTTCATCTTCCTCTTCATCCTCTTCATTCATCTCTTCTTCTTTTTCTCTTCCTCTTGCAGGTCACTGCTCATGCGCAGATTTTTTTATCGGTAAAAAATCGGCCGATTTGCCCACTAATTGCCGCGAAAATCGGCCGATCGGCAAAATCCAACTTTACCGAAAAAAAAAAAAAAAAAACGGCCAAAATACCGAAAAACGACCGACCGAATCGCCCACTAACGATCCGAAAATCGGCCGATTTTATTTTCGGCCGAAAAATCGGCCGATTTTCGACCCATCTATGGCCTGCATATTGGCTGAATTGAAAATTTTTACAGCCCGTTACATATTTATCTTCAACATCACAAAGAATTTCAGAATATTTATCTTTGATAACTATGCATACTTATAAAATATGAACATGATATTATTAAAGAAATGATCCTCAGTCAGTAGGTGCCTAATTGCAGCAGCAATTCATTTTCTTTTAAATATTTAGCTTGATAATTTTATTAACACCTGGAAAGTAGCCAATGCTTGCACTAAAATGAGAGAAATCATAATGCTTGACATGGCAACTGCTGACTGCCTGTTGGACATGTAATGTATGGTATCACTGGCTGTATTACTGTGTAAGCATGTTAAAGGCATTCACTACAACATTTACACAGGGATTATTCATCCTAGAGAAGAGACAATGCATTAAATAAATATGTAAAATTATAACTGATTTTTGTCTAACTCAGGAGTTCTCCTTTTAAATGCTGTGCTGACTGTGAAAGCCCACAATGCTAATTCACATAAAGACAGAGGCTGGGAGCAGTTTACAGACTCTGTTGTGTCTTGGCTGAACAAGAACCTTGAAGGCTTGGTCTTCATGCTTTTATTGGGGAGCCTACGCCCAGAAGAAAGGAATCGGTATTGACAGAGTAAGTGTTTGTGACGCAATTAGCATATATCACGTGATATTGAATTTAGTTATAAAAAACATCTGGAAATCTAAAAATGTTGGTATATTGCATTGGTCAGAATGTTTAAAGAGGAAGTTAACCCTGTGCATGTTAATTTTTTTTAATAACTGCAAATAAATCCTAGTAGGACAGACAGGTGAGTGACACCATGGGGGCTTGGTGTTGGTGGAAACAGACAGCTTCAAAGGCTTGATAGCACAGGGACAGAAACATGGGCGGCGTTCAAACTTGCAGGGATGCATTCGGAAAAGTACTGTTTCTAACTCAATTGGGCTACTTTTACACTGCTCCGTTGCAAAAACATGGTAAAAAGGTTTTGCCATGTTTCACACCTGTGAAAAAAAAAGACGTGACTCAAAAACGTAGCCACAAATGCATTTTTGATGTGGTTTATATTTGTGTGGGGTGTGTTTTTGTGTGTGGGTTTTTTTTTCCCCTCACCAACCCAAACATGCAGCAAGCAATGGACCCCCCAACTGACCAGTGTGAAGAGTTCTATAGGATTTAATGGTTGTGTTTTTTTTTTTTTTTTTTTTTTTTTTTTTTTTTTTTTTTTTTTTTTTACTCAAAAACAGAAGAAACAGGGATCAATGTGAAAACAGCCTCAACATGCAAGGTGAACTTCCTCTAATATCATAAAATGGCAAAGCACACTAGAGATTTAAAATCTACAAATCCTATAACCAAGCTATTTGTATATACATACTGTTACGTGTTTGGTCCAATAAATTGGATTCATAGTTTACCACCATACCTTGGAAAAAGGGCAGTGCCAATAAAATTTGCTACATTTTATTTGTGTAAACTTCTATCCACTGGGAGGCAAAATGTAGGACAACTCTGTAGGAGCACCTTTCTGCTGTAAGCTGCCTACATAGATAGCTATGTTTGACTAGATTATATATTCATGTAAACAGTTGTATGTATGTACGTACACACACACACACACACACACACTATTCTTGCAGTGGGGTGTGCTTCATACAGCCGCGCTTTTTGTTTACATTTTAAAATCGGGTTTTTGGGTTTTTTTGGTTTTTGGTTTTTTTTTTTTTTTGCTTGAAAAGGTCTTGGAACCCCCAAACATTATTTTTTTTTTTATTTATTTATTTTTTTTTTTTTAAAGCAGAGGCCCAGAGAATAAATTTAGTAGTGTTGTGTTTTTTGTTTTGTTTTTTTTTTTTATTTGCTCAGCAGTTTTTCAAATGCCGTATTTGGGAAAGAATACATATTTTTTTTTATTGCAAAGAAGCACAATACATAACCCAATTTTTTTGTCAAATATAAAAGATGTTATGCTGAGTTAATAGATACCAAACATGTCCTGCTTGAAAATTGCACATGCCTGTGCAATGGCAACTTATGGCGTACATTTTACATTTCATAGGCAACGCTTTAAAAGCCTTTTAAAGGTTACCACTTACAATTTACAGAGGAGGTCTAGTGCTAGCATTACTGCCCGTGATCTGACGATACCTCATGTGGGACTATCCCTCTGTGCATGCAGGACTGACGAGTGTGTTCGCCTTTGCGTGGGGGGGCAGAGGGCAGTTGCTTTTTGTTTTTTTTTTTTTGGTTTTTTTACACTGACAATAAAAAAAAAAAAACAACTTTTTATTGCGGTCCCAAGAAATGTACACATCCCCAGTAACCGCAATAGACGCATGACCGGTATTTTTTTTTGGGGATCTAGGGTCTGAGACCCCATATCCCTCCTCTGCACTTGCAAGCATTCAAAACACCAACACCTGCAGGCATCACTCCGATACAACCATGGAAAGTCCAGCGATGTACAGGTATGTTGCTGGTCCGGAAGTGGTAAGAAAAAAAAAAATCAAGACAATATAGGAGAGTGTATTTTTATAGTTGAAATATACATGTACACAAAGTGTGTGAGGTGTTTATTATAGCATTTTATATCGTCATATAGCTATACTAACATAACTAGATACCCTAATCCAGTGGTCTCCAGACTGCGACCCTTTGCTTGCCTTTATCCGGCCCTATTCCCACTGAAACCAAAGTTGGGGCACCATTCCTACCAAAAACACCAACAATGGGGAACTATTCTTGGCACTGACATGAATAATGGTGCATTATGCCTCCCATTAAAATTTTAATTAAGAGGTATTGCTTACTCCCATAGACGGCAGGGCATTTCCTACTTATATCAGCCACAGTCTGGGCCCCCCCTAAAGCCTGAAGGACCGTGAACTGGCTCTTTGCATAGAAAGTTTGGAGACCCCTGCCCTAATCCTTTTTTCAATTAAAAAGATGAATGTGAACATTTTTACAAAATACTAATGAAAATATAAGGCTATTCCTTTTTATATGTAACTGACAGGTTTTGTTTTGCAGAAGCGCCATCTTGTGCTGCAAACAGTCCATCCTTCTCCTCTGTCAGCTCACCGTGGATATTTTGGTTGTCAACACTTCTCTAAAACAAACACTTACCTGCAGAGTGTGAGTAAAAAACCAATTGACTGGAAGGATTTGTGACCAAATGAATATTACTTGTGGTATAGCCCGTATCACACAGGCATTAATCTGAATATCATTAGCAAAGTGAGAAAACACTGCTGCTACTTGCTAATGTATCTGGTCTGGTTAAGCTTTACTATACATTACAGTTTTCAAACAATATCTGAGTTTCTGTAAACCGTTATTAATAAGGATACAGTGTTACATTTCTTTAGCTGGGAAAGACCCATAACAGCCACACCAAAAGTTAAGCATTTGGAAAACTGATCTGTAAAGTTTGTTGCTGGCATTTTTCTTTTGTTTGTTTTGAATCATTCAGTCATCACCACTGTACCTACAAAGTGTGCCCTATATTAAATAAAAAGTCTTAACAATTTGTTTTCTGTTCTACTCGGCAACAGCCTGAGTAGAAAAATCTGTCCCCTGCTATGAGGCACCAAAGAAGAAATTTCTCTCTAAAAGCAGCGGTCAGTCTGCAGAGGTCTAGTATGTCTCCTCCTAAGTCTCTACATCTTACTTCTCTCTAATCAAGAAAGCCCATGCTCCGTCTTGAGTGCAGAGCTTTATGTCTAAGCAGGGATCTTGTTACACCTTTACAGGGAGACTACTGCTTTCACAGAGAGCAAGCATCCTTCTCTGCAACGTCCTGTCAGTGGACCGGCATTTCAGGCTGTGGCTGCTTTGTACAGAAAACCTACCAAGACTGCACAGTTTTGTTTTATTGCCCCTGAAATTTACTGTATGTAGAGGAATAAAACCAAGTTCATTTGGGCTTTATTAACTTTTCACAAAGAAATGTATACTTGTTAAATTGTTGAAACTCCCCATTTCTTAGAATGGTTATACGTTTTGCAAAATATACTGTAATATATTCCTATCTTCAGCAATTGAGTTTTTCTTTCAGAAAAACACAACAGAAGTAATGAAGCAAGCTTTGCTACCATTGGTGTCTTAAAAGATCCACAATGCATGCCAAAAAATGGCTTTTGTGGTTTTGAGCCTCCATAAAAATACCCTAGACTGCTAGAACACTAGATATTTACTGTTGAGGTGAGTCTTTAATGCAGAACCAAACACTAGTCTATGCACCTTAACGGGGTTCCGTGTGTCCCTAAATTGTTGGTGTTTGTGTTGTATTAAAGTGGAACTGCAGGCAGAGGGATTTTCCCTCTTTTTTATGTTGATGCTGAGGTTTAGCCATGTCCAGATCACTGTTCTTTACTGTAAAATTCATACATTTCTTCACACCAGGTACTTCTGGCCCACTTCCGCTATGAGAGCTGAGGTTCATGCTAGTGTTATTTTTATGCCCACTCTCTCCTTGTCTGTTCACAGTACATCTTGTATTTTATGAATGGTTCACAAAATACAAAGCGTTCTGTGACTGTAGAGGGGAGGGTTTAGTTTGAACACTAGCATGAGCTGCAGCTCTTTAAGCTGCCATAGGCTGGAAGTACAGCAAAAGGTGTACTATCCAGCATGAACAGAAGTGTGAATTTTATAGTAAAGAACAGTGATCAGGTGTGGGATAAACCTCAGAATTTTTTTGTTTGTTTGTTTTATACACATCAGAAACATGAAGTCTCTTTGCCTAGAGGGCCACCTTAAAGACTCAAGTTAACAAATGTCATTGTACTCCCCATAACTATTTGAACTAATGTTACCTCCACCTACCCTACTACTACTTTTTTGCATACAGTGTGAGACTTCATAGAGACTAATCCATTAATTTTTTTTTTTTTCTCAACCAGTTATGTCACTTATTAAATATTAAAGGTATTTGCCTTGTACAGGCTTGAGTACTGCTATGTATTTAACTAGGCTTTTGACTTATCGTAGACTAGTTCATAATTTTGTTTTTAAAAGGTATGGTTTGGAAAATACCTACTAGCCAACAGTTATGTAGAACAGGCAATATAAAGACACCAGGACATGCCTATCTTGTGGCCAATTTGCAGAATCCCCTGAAGTGCCTATGTAAATACTTCCTTGAATGAAACCTGTATTTGGGGAATAAACCTCTTTTATCCATGTATTACCCATAAAGCATAGCCCTTAATAGTATACCTGGAACCCTAATCAAACAAATATTTAGAATATCTGGCCAACTCGCTCCCATTGCCCAATATGCAAGGTACCACCCTTTTGATGAGAAATGTGCAGGCTATGGGACCAATAAATAACTTGGAAAAGGCTTTTTAGTTAATGAATCTACAGAAAAAAGTGTAATGTGAACACTACAGCTGACTTGCAGAAAGGGTAACTACTACAGCAAAATGCTTTATTGCAATAAAACTTTATGCATGTTTTAGGTGGGATTTCCCATTTCATTTACTTGAGTGATTACTTAAACATGCTTTTCTTTATTTCTTTAAAATAAAAATGTTTGTATATATTTTGTAAATCTGGGTTTGTTTGTATTGTTCCTTGTGAGGTATACAAGCTAAAACAGTAGTGTGAATGACTGAATAAGCTAAATATTTCTAAAGGCACTAAATGTATTTAGGTTTGTGTTTTTTAATTTTGTAATAAACGGTTATTAAACCATTTTCGTGATGAGATTTGTTTTTAAACCGAATTCAGATTTACATTTGAACTATTCTTTATGCTGGCTTCACACTTGTTGAGGAAACGTGATCTCCTGTCCCCATGCTTTGGTTACATGAGTTTTGTGTTTTCTGGATCATCCCAATTGTTTCTAATGGGTCCCCACTGTACCACAATACATACACTATATTGCCAAAAGTATTGGGACGCCTGCCTTTTCACGCACATGAACTTTAATGGCATCCCAGCCTTCGTCCGTAGGGTTCAATATTGGGTTGGCCCACCCTTTGCAGCTACAACAGCTTTAACGCTTCTGGGAATGCTGTCCACAAGGTTTAGGAGTGTGTCTATGGGAATGTTTGACCATTCTTCCAGAAGTGCATTTGTGAGGTCAGGCACTGATGTCAGAAGAGAAGGCCTGGCTCACCGTCTCTGCTCTAATTTATCCCAAAGGTGTTCTGTCAGGTTGAGGTCAGGACTCTGGGGTGGAGGAACTTGACCGGCCTGCACAAACTTGCTCATCTATGTCTTTTTGGACCTTGCTTTGTGCACATGTGCGGAGTCATTTTGAAATGGAAAGGGGCTATCCCCAGACTGTTCCCACAAAGTTGGGAGCATGAAATTGTCCAAAATGTCTTGGTATGCTGACACCTTAAGAGCTCCCTTCAATGGAACTAAGGGGCCAAGCTCAACCCCTGAAAAACAACTCCACACCATAATTCCCACCTCCTCCACCAAACTTTGCGCAATGCAGTTAGGCAAGTATCATTCTGGCGACCGCCAAACCCAGACACGCCCATTGGATTGCCAGATAGAGAAGCATGATTTGTCACTCCAGAGAACAGGTCTCCACTGCTCTAGAGTCTAGTGGTGGCATGCTTTACACCACTGCATCCGATGCTTTACGTTGCACTTGCAGCTGCTTGGCCATGGAAACCCATTCCATGAAGCTCTCTATACATTGTTGTGCTAATCTGAAGGCCACAAGAAGTTTGAAGGTCTTTAGCTATTGATTCTGCAGACAGTTGGTGAGTTCTGCGTGCTGTGCGCTTCAGCATGTGCTGAGCCCGCTCTGTCTTTTTACATGGCCTACCACTTTGTGGCTGAGTTGCTGTTGTTACCAGTTGCTTCCACTTTCTTATAATACCACTAACAGTTGACCGTGGAATATTTTTAGTAGCAACGAAATTTCATGTATGGACTTATTGCACAGATGACAACCTATCACAGTACCACACATGAATTCACTGAACTCCTGAGAGCAACCCATTCTTTCACAAATGTTTGTAGAAGCAGTCTGCATGCCTAGGTGCTTGATTTTATACACCTGTGGCTATAGAGGTGATTGGAACACGTGAATCCAATGATTTGGAGGGGTGTCCCAATACTTTGGCAGTATAGTGTGCACATGCAGCAAGTTGCAAATCACTGGGGAAAAAATTGATTGGGTATGTGAACACGTGTTTAAAGCTTGCAGCAAATTAATTGGCTGATCAAGCGTCAACATATCAATGTGAATGTGTAGCTGTAAATGGGCCCTAAAACAAAAGATTGAAAGTTTATGTAAACATAGTTGGGAATAATGTAGCTGCAGGTTGAAGATTTGGGGAATAAAGGGGCATGGTACAGCAAGCATTCTGTTGCAAAATCAACTTTGGATATAACGTGAACATATCCCAAAAGTTAAGGGGTTTTTCTTTAATTTAGAATAGTGGGTAAGCCATGAATGTACAGTTGTGTTCAAAATAATAGCAGTGTGTTGAAAAAAGTGAATAAAGCTCAAAATCCTCCTAATAGGTTTTATTTCCATACACACAAATGCATTGGGAACACTACACATTCTATTCCAAATCAAAACATGAACAATATATCAAATTTGTGTTCCTCTAAAAAAAAAAAAAATTGAGTTTGTAAAGAAGAATACAAACACTGCTTTTTTGAACAGTCTTATATTCACTTTTCTTCAAACATTCACTATATAAACTGACAAATGTTTGAAGATTTTGCTTTCCTTTGAATCACTTAATGAATATTTAGTTGTATAAGCACTGTTTCTGAGAACTGCTGTACATCTGTGTTGCATGGAGTCAACCAACTTCTGGCACCTGTGAACAGGTATTCCAGCCCAGGATGATGGACTACATTCCACAGTTCTTCTCTATTTCTTGGTTTTGCCTCAAACTGCATTTTTGATGTCACCCCACAAGTTTTCTGTTGGATTAAAATCCGGGGATTGAACTGGCCACTCCATAGTGTCAATCTTGTTGGTCTGGAACCAAGATGTTGCACGTTTACTGGTGTGTTTTGGGGTCGTTGTCTTGTTGGAACACCCATTTCAAGGGCATTTCCTCTTCAGCATAAGGCAGTATGACCTCCTTCAAGTATTCTGATGTATTCAAACTGATCCATGATCCCTGGTATGCGATAAATAGCCTCAACACCGTAGTATGAGAAACATCCCCATATGATGC